GAGAGAGACTAGAGAGAGAGACCAGAGAGATACCAGAGAGAGAGAATAGGGAGAGAGACCAGAGAGAGAGACCAGAGACAGACCAGAGAGGGACACTAGAGAGAGGCCAGAGAGAGACCAGAGTGAGATTTGAAGACTATAAAGTCTTCCAAACCAGTGACTCCAGTATAAATACAATTTCTGCAATTGTTCAAAAGTCTATAGAGAGTTAAACACTTTGTCTTCTATGAGGCTAACCGATCTGTCCGTTAGCATCCTCTCACTGTTCACCACTTTGTATCCAAACAGTTTTAGCGTGGGCCGACACACCCTCTGCACGACCTGCGCAAGCTTGAACGGCAGATTGAACCTCCACTTCTCCACATGCTCCGACGAGTTCCTCTGGAGCGAGTAGACGCCACTGGCCTCAGTCTGCGAGACCTGCGTGTTCTTTGCGATCCACTCCTTCACCTGCGGCGTGAACGGAATCCCCGCAAACCTGTACATCTCCGCTGCCTTCCTCATGGGGAACCGGGCAATGTCCTCGTAGCGAACTAGCATGTAGCGCCTGCGTAGCCACTGGGGTTGGCGTAGTCCAATTTGAGCCGATGTCCTGATATTATCGCAGTTTCCTTTGAGTTTGCGAACTTCGTCGTCATCTACCGGAACATCCCCTTGCGTGGCCCACTCTTTCCAGTTCCTATACTTCTCAAACGCAATGATTCGTGAAGCTAGCACTGCTCTTGGGTCCCGCACCAGCTGTATGAACCTCACGTCGAGGCTGGGGTCTTCCGCTAGCGGGCGAAGCGTCTCCAGTTGTCGTACCCTCACGGACTTTATCGCCCTGTGCTCCTTTTGCAAGCAAGACTCCGATGCTAGCGTCAGGTTCAGGGGCCCGCACTTTCGCGTCTTGCAGTGAAACTTCTCGAAGCCTCCTGGGACGAAGGGACCGCAAACCGAGTCCGCGCACAAAGAACTGCTGGACCACCTCCGGAACAGACTGGAGGTGAGGTGGTCCACTGGGGAAGGTTCGATGAAGCTCTCGAGGAGAGAGAAGTTGCATTGGAAGAGGTGTTGCAAGACGTCGCGATAGGCCTTAGCAGAAGCAGTCGCGTTGGTCCCGCCTCCTTCCAGCGTTAGCATCTTCTCGACGTGCCATAGAGGTTCGAACAGGTAGAACATGTTGTCGCCTTGTTGGTTAAAAAACTCGCCCACGAACGAAGACCCGGTCCGAGTTGTAGCCAGAAGAAGGATGTGTCTACGTTTGGACCGAGGTTGGACTGAGTCTGGGCCAAGCTTTTGGACTGAGTCTGGTTGGGAGCTGTAGGTTTCCAGGCGTCGCTTCATGAGGCTGGACAAGACGGGAGCACTAGTCCTCGGGTGGAAGACCCAGGATCCAGTCTGGTTCGGTTTGAGCAGGATTTGTAGCGCAGAGTCCGGAGGGAGGATGAGCTGAGCCTGCTTCAAGGCGAGTTTGTCAGACACCCTGAAAGAAACAAGAAGAGCGAATTAAGAATGGTCTCTTTCTTGTCTCTGGTCTCTCCCTGGAGTCTTTCTAGTCTCTCTCTCTGGTCTCTCTCTCGCAGACATCTTGGATACCAGCAACAGATATCTTAGTGTGACCAGGGGCAGACATCTTGGAGAGACCAGAGGATGACATTTGGAGAGACAGGGAGCAGACATCTTGGAATACTGGGGCTGGGGCTCAGTATGTAAGACTTAAAAATACAACTTTCTACTGGAGAAGACTGGTAACGGCTGTAGTCTGTTCATTGCTATACACTCCCTGACCCACTGTCTGTTTCCCTGCACCTGTGAACTGGTCTTTAAATGAACTGTCACCTGGAGATGATGTTATTCTCCTTCTCGATGATGACGAGCGCCAACACAAACACCACGGGGATGAAGTATTTGAACTTCATCCTCAGAGCACTCCAGCCCACCTACTGCATGAAGTACTGCAGTATTCCTCAGAGTACGAGGTTACGAGGTCCAGCCACTCGCACCTCTCCTGAAAACACAGAAGACAAGAGAAAGATAAAATAAGATAAACTTTATGGATCTCACAATGGAGAAAAATACATGTCACATTTGGCATATACAGAATCACTCAAGGTGTGCAAGATAAACAATAAAAAAAACAACATTAAGATAAGATAAGATAAACTTTATTGATTTTACAAAGGAGAAATTTACAAAAGGGACTATAGTGGTGCGATTCTTTCAGTCCTAGTCCAGGTTTTTAAAGTGACTTATTGGGGGATGAGGTCATGTGAGTCATTTCAGTAGATATAGAAGTAGTAGTAGTAGAAGTATTAGTAATTGTGGTAGTTTTATATTCGAATTTCAAAGTCAAAGCCCCAGTGTTTACCAGCTCTGTAGAGGCTAGAGGGCGCAGACTGTTCGCTTCTCGTTCTGTGAGTGGAGGAGAACGAGTGGCCCGCTAAGTCTCTACTCAGCACTTTTCACGGCCTGAATTCATACACAAGTTGAATCAATGAGCTCAAGTTTTCAATTAAATTACGGATTATAATACATCTTGTATTTAGTAAAAAGCATTTTCATGAACTACTTAGAAAAAAATCGGGTATAGCTTCTGTAATGGTCATCATAGAAACAGCAGCAGCAACAGTGGTAGGTAAAGGACTGCAGCTGTGTTGTCAGTACACACTCCATCATGACCTCAGTCGTGGTTCTCGCTGACACACACAACCATCAACACTTCAAGAAACACACATTTTAGCAACATAAAGCTTTGGTAACTAATTTTCACTAGTTTTTAGCCAATCAGCTCCAAGCCCAAAGGGTCAAAGAGTGACTCAACTTTTAGTAGAACTTTTAATATTCTAGAGCGACCAGAAAGGGAGAGCAGAGAGAGACCAGAGAGAGAGAGACCAGGGACAGACCAGAGTGAGCGAGACCAGAGAGAGAGACCGGAGAGAGAGACAAGAGAGACCAGAGAGAGAATAGCAGCAGTAGTACTAGAAATAGTACAAAATATCCATATAAGGAAATTGGCTCCAGCTTGCTTATGTTTGGCCTCTTCTGCATTAAGGCTAACACCACTCCTCATGGAGGCTCTATGGTTTCTTGTGAGTTTTTAATTGTCCCATAAACACTCTCTTCAGTTGGAGACGGTGCTGTGGTGTCGTACTGGGTGGGCATGCTCCTGAATGCATCACTGATCCTGCACAAAACCAGACTCTAAAGTCACATCCGATATTTATGTCACACCTGGAAACTTCAGGAACGCAAAATACAAGCGAGAGACTAGAGAGAGCAGAGAGAGAGAGACCAGAGAGACAAACCAGAGCGAGAGAGCAGGGAGACCAGAGAGGCCAGAGAGAGACCAGAGAGAGAGAACAGAGAACGAGACAGGAGAGAGAGCAGAGAGAGAACAGAAAGAAACAAGAGAGAGAGTAGAAACCAGAGAGATCAAAGATGGACCAGAGACGACTGCTGGTACTTCTACTACTACATTACTTTTAGTACTACTGCTCCTCCTTCTCCTCCTCCTCCTGCTCCTCTGTCGTCCTCTGGTATGTGTATGTGTCTCTAGTAAAAGTGCTTTTTATTTTACGGTTGTGTGAAATTCTCCACATGTTCAGCTCAGAGACAGAACAGAGGCTTCACTGATGGAGGATCAACCTGAAGCATGCTGGGAAAACAATGGACTGTAGTACTGCAGAGAGTACTACTACTACTACTACAACTGCTGCTGCTACTACTACTACTATGACGACAACTATTATTACTACTTCTGCTGCTATAATGCATTTTTATATAGGACTTTTGTGGACGCTCAAAAGACGCTTCACATGTCATCATTCATTCCACACACAGTGGTGATAAAGTACTACTGTAGCCACAGCTGCCCTGGGGACACTGACACAGGCGAGGCAACCAGTCTCCGTTCCTCTCTCTTCTCTCTCCTCTCCACTCTCCTTCTTGAACCCAAAATGGTGAGTGTGACCCAAACGGTTACTGAGTTAGAAGAGTTAAATACTTTTACATGTAAGTCAATAGAAGCCTAAAAGAGTTGGCTCCAAACTTTGTCCATGAGCACTTCTATATTGGGCTTCATATAGCTAGCGGGTTAGCCTTGTACATCTATTTACAGGCTTATGGTACTTCCCCAAGGACATTAAACAAATTGAGTTAAAATCAGTTCTAAATGAGTGGCTCTGGTTTTCATTAGTTTATTGAAGAAGCATGACCTAAGATTGGATCAGCCACTCTGCTCTGGACCTGGAAAGAAGAGAGACCAAAGAGAGACCTGAGAGAGACAAGAGAGACCAGAGAGAGACATGAGAAAGACCTGAGAGAGACCTCAGAGAGACCAGAGAGACAACAGAGAGAGCGAGACCAGAGAGATCAGAGAGACAACAGAAAGAGAGACCAGAAAGAGACCAAAGAGAGACCAGAGAGAGAGACCATCCAGAGATAGACCAGAGATAGACCAGAGAGACAACAGAGAGAGAGACTAGAGAGAGACTGAAAGATTTAGATGTAATTCAGAGTTTAAAAAAAAGTTTGTTTTATCTGCCACTGCTCACATGTGGCTCAGGGGGATAAGGTTTGATAGCTACACACTAGTCGCATCACTGGACGTGGAGCTGTGTTTGGGTGAATGAAGCTCTCACTGATAGAGCTTGGGCTGTGGCACAGGCTGCTCTTTCCTTTATAAAGTTCTGAATCCACAACCTCAGTTTGTTATATTAACATTAAAAAAGGTTTATGACTGGAGCAGGACTTGCCACAATCCAGTTCTCACCGTGCGTAACTGTCCTTAGCGCTGCGTAAAGTCTTCAGTCGGTCCAAAATCGCATCCAAGCGCGCGCCAGACGTCTCCAAACGCGCTGTATCTCCACCGTGCGTCCCCATGTTAGGATCCAAGCGTCGGGCAAAGACACAACAACAACAAGAGGCGAAAGTGAGAGGAGAGGTCTGAGTATGAAATGAGTCCCTCTGGTTTGGCACAGCGCGCTTGCATTGGCCCCCTCCCTCTCTCACACACGTACTCTCTCTCTCTCTCTCTCTCTCTCTCTCTCTCTCTCTCTCTCTCTCTCTCTCTCTCTCTCTCTCTCTCTTTCAGTGCTGTTTGGAAGATGCAGATGGAGCGCCAAAAATCAATCAAAATTAATATTTCTTCCTTCAAGCGAAGAAGCACGGCAAACCTGCAAAGAACAAGTCATTTTAACGTGTAAGGAACTGAAACTACATATATTTGGGTTAAATCGTGAGGATAAAGTGCAAAATGTTACTAGTAAGTAACACTTAGTTACTTGCCACCTCTGTATTAAATTTAGCAAACCACTTACAAAGGGCAGGTGGAAGAGGGAATTCCATCATAACACTGTCAACTTTCAATCAAGTAATTCTAGCGCCATCTACTGGAGAATCTGGATTTGTGCAGAGACAAGAGAAGAGATAAACCGAGATAAATGTATTGATGTCACAGTGGAGAAATGTAGCTACTTGTCACATTTGGCATAGATAAAATCACTCAGATTGTGCAGTCTCTCTCTCTCCCTCTCCTCTTTCTCACTCTCACTCAAAAAAACTACAAAGTCTTTGTCGCTTATTGATGACGTATAATTACAAAATGTTCAGGACGGTTGCAAAAATAGTCACGTCAGAAATCTGCGCCTCTGCTCTGAAAGGTGAACGACGAACGCGTCTCTCCTGTAAGTGACTGACTGTTCATTAAAACACGTATTTACACGTGTTTCTGTCTGTTTTAAGTGATTACGGAGATGTTTATTAGCTTGTTTCTGCGTTAGCTCCGCTCGTTAGCTTCAGCCGTTAGCTTGTCCTGAGTCTGAGCTACACATGTAGTTAAACCTCCAATGTTTACTTGTCAATGTACACCATGTTTTCCTTATTAATCAAATATATCACAGTTTTATTTGGTTAAAAACAACATATTCCGACTTTTCCTCACAGCACGGGGCAGAGACATTCATTACATGTCTGTGGTTGAGGAACGACCATAAGAATTGATAAACGAAGATTTGTTGTTTTACGTTAAAATCAGTGACTTCTGGTTTGAAGCAATCTTGCTTTTAACACTTAGCTCTATAAGTCTCTAACATGACATCATGACTCAGCAGTTTCATAAGAAAGAAAGGAAGGTCCAGAACCAAGGCTACGCACTTAGGATTTACTGCTGCTGCTGCTGTTGTAGTTTAGTTTATTTTATTTGCACTCCTAAATCACAACAACAGTCATCTCTTGAAGCCTTTACAAAGTTATCAATTCTCCATCAACAACTCAGTCCAATGACAACTATCTTAATGTCCCACTTTCCTTCCTTCAACCAGGGGTCTCAAACTCATTTTGGTCTGAGGGCGAATTACAACCTAACTAGATCTCAACTGGGCCGGACCAGAAGATTCTCTGCAAAAATACCCAAAAATAGGACAAAGATTTTTGTATTATTATCATTTTACGTAAATGAGCTGCGGGACGTATCAATTCTCTTGGCGAGGAGGGGCCGCATAATTGACACCCCTGCCTTAGACCCTACTGCATTGGCAAGGACTGAGGCTGTAGACCCAGGTCTGAGGCTGTAGATCCAGGACTGAGGCTGTAGATCCAGGACTGAGGCTGTAGACCCAGGACTGAGGCTGTAGATCCAGGACTGAGGCTGTAGATCCAGGACTGAGGCTGTAGATCCAGGACTGAGGCTGTAGATCCAGGACTGAGGCTGTAGATCCAGGACTGAGGCTGTAGATCCAGGACTGAGGCTGTAGATCCAGGACTGAGGCTGTAGATCCTGGACTGAGGCTGACATGTTATCCTGATATATTTCACAGTTTTGTCCGCAGCTCGATCAAACACACGCATGATGTTGGTCGCTCGGCTCTCCTGCCTCCGCGCTGTCCCTTTGTCAGGGCTGCGTTCAGCTGTCACTCAAACTCCTCCGGCTTTGAGGACTTCCTGTCTGAAATCCCGCCTCCCACTGCTACAACAACAACAGGTGAACGTTTTAACAGGAGTAAACATCATGAAAACATCATATGTTTTCTGAGGCTCTTACCTTCTTCACACCATCATCAGAAACAGATAAATCAAAAACCTTCGACACAAACACACCCCCACCCCTTCTGACTCAACGCTCCCATCTCAAACTTTGTACATCCACATATGAGCCATAAGGATTGACCATTTAGGTGCCTTCATTCAGGGAAGGATCTCCAACTTAACACTGAGAGACACAACCACTGAGAGATAGAGAGACACACACACACAGCGCGACAGACGGATACACACACAGAGACACACACACACACACACACCCCTGACCCCTGTGCTCCTCTGACTATGTGAACTCTGCTTCCAGGGTTTGTCGACCAGGTCCAAGTTTGGGTTCCGCAAACTTCGCTCGACCAAAGAGCAGCTCAAAGAGGCGGCGTTTGGACAGGCTTCCGAGACTGCCATGAAAAGTACTACTACCATGTACTACTACCATGTACTACTACCATGTACTACTACCATGTACTACTACCATGTACTACTACCATGTACTACTACCATGTACTACTACCATGTACTACTACCATGTACTACTACCATGTACTACCATCATGTACTAATACCACCACGTACTAATACCACCACCACTCTGGCTGTAGATCAGAACCAGACCACAGTCTTGAGCCGTGACTGACTGTAGATTTCTAACATCGAACCAAAACCCTAATTTTTCATGGTCACAATTAGCAAATTGCAAAGACTGCCAATATATATATTTCTTTTTCACAAAGTGGAGACAAAAAAAAAAAAAGGCTAAATAGTCAATGGAAAAATTTTTTTTTGATTTTATTTTTATGAGTAACTTTCTGCTCTCGTTTTCAGTCGACAGCACCGGTCGCATGGTTCTGGCAGGAGGAGCTGCAGTGGGACTGGGGGCTCTGTGCTACTATGGTCTGGGGATGTCCAATGAGATCGGGGCCATTGAGAAGTCTGTGTGAGTCTGCAACACATACCAGGAAGACCAGGAAGGCAACACACAGAACAAAAACACGGAAGACTCTGATAACTCTTTTATACCTCTCTTTTCTTTCTTTCTGACGCTCTATGGTCTCTCTCTCTGTCCCATATCTCTCCCTCCCTCTCTCGCTTGCTTTGGTCTCTTTCTCTGGTCTCTCCCCCCGGTCTCTCCCCCTCTCTATCTCCCCCTATCTCTCTTTCTCTCTCTGGTCCCTCTCTATCCCATCCATTTTAATAATTGCAGAAGCAGATAGAAGTCTCTCTGGCTTTCCCTCATGTCTCTCTCTCTCTCAGACCAATAGTGACAGTACTTTCCCTGCTGTTTCTTTTCCTTCAGCATCTGGCCTCAGTACGTGAAGGACCGCATCCACTCCACCTACATGTACTTCGCTGGCTCTGTGGGTTTCACGGCTCTGTCTGCTGTCGCTGTCAGCAGAACTCCAGCTCTGCTCGGACTCATGATGAGAGGCTCCTGGCTGGTACAGACAAACACAGACAAACACAGACAAACACACACACACACACACACACACACACACACAATGAGTTACCTTTATCTAAAGTCAGAAGAAATCTGGATTCTCTCTGCTTATTCGGTCTCTCTCGCTGGTGTCTCTCTCTCTGATGTGTCTCTCTCTCTGATGTTTCTCTCTCTCTGATGTTTCTCTCTCTCTGGTCTCTCTCTCTCTGGTGTCTGTCTCTCTCTGGTCTCACTGTGTGTCTGTCACCAGGCGATCGGAGCCACGTTTGCTGCGATGATTGGAGCTGGGATGTTGGTGAGATCCATCTCGTATGAACACAGTCCGATGCCCAAACACCTGGCCTGGATGCTCCACGCAGGTGAGAGCGCCTCTGACACACACATTTTACACACACAGAGGAAGACAGACAGAGACGGAGACAGACAGAGACAGACAGAGACAGACAGAGACAGACAGAGACAGACAGAGACAGACAGAGACAGACAGAGACAGACAGAGACAGACAGAGACAGACAGACGGACAGAGACAGACGGACAGAGACAGACAGACGGAGACAGACAGAGACAGACACTGACCTCTGTGTTTCCTCAGGGGTCATGGGGGCTGTGATCGCCCCCCTCACTCTCCTCGGGGGACCCCTGATGATGAGAGCGGCCTGGTACACGGCAGGCATCGTGGGGGGTCTCTCCACTGTGGCCATGTGTGCGCCCAGCGAGAAGTTCCTCTACATGGGAGGACCGCTGGCCGTGGGCTTTGGCGTCGTCTTCGCCTCCTCTATCGGTAAGAACTCTGCACATTGTCTCCTTAAACCTGGGATACGTTACTTTTAAACGACAAAAGAAAATAAGTGGATAGGAATGGACCAGAGGGAGAGCGGCAAGAGGGAGAGCGGCAAGAGGGAGAGCGGCAAGAGGGAGAGCGGCAAGAGGGAGAGCGGCAAGAGGGAGAGCGGCAAGAGGGAGAGCGGCAAGAGGGAGAGCGGCAAGAGGGAGAGCGGCAAGAGGGAGAGCGGCAAGAGGGAGAGCGGCAAGAGGGAGAGCGGCAAGAGGGAGAGCGGCAAAAGAGATCAGAGAGAGATGCCAAAGAGAGAGAGAGAGGCCAGAGAGAAGCCAGAGCGAGAGAGAAGCCAGAACGAGAGAGGCCAGAGCGAGAGAGGCCAGAGCGAGAGAGGCCAGAGCGAGAGAGGCCAGAGCGAGAGAGGCCAGAGCGAGAGAGGCCAGAGCGAGAGAGGCCAGAGCGAGAGAGGCCAGAGCGAGAGAGGCCAGAGCGAGAGAGGCCAGAGCGAGAGAGGCCAGAGCGAGAGAGGCCAGAGCGAGAGAGGCCAGAGCGAGAGAGGCCAGAGCGAGAGAGAGAGCCAGAGCGAGAGAGAGAGGCCAGAGCGAGAGAGAGAGGCCAGAGCGAGAGAGAGAGGCCAGAGCGAGAGAGAGAGGCCAGAGCGAGAGAGAGAGAGCCAGAGCGAGAGAGAGAGAGGCCAGAGCGAGAGAGAGAGGCCAGAGCGAGAGAGAGAGGCCAGAGCGAGAGAGAGAGGCCAGAGCGAGAGAGAGAGGCCAGAGCGAGAGAGAGAGGCCAGAGCGAGAGAGAGAGAGCCAGAGCGAGAGAGAGAGAGAGAGAGGCCAGAGCGAGAGAGAGAGAGAGAGCCAGAGCGAGAGAGAGAGAGAGGCCAGAGCGAGAGAGAGAGGCCAGAGCGAGAGCAGAGCGAGAGAGAGAGGCCAGAGCGAGAGAGAGAGGCCAGAGCGAGAGAGAGAGGCCAGAGCGAGAGAGAGAGGCCAGAGCGAGAGAGAGAGAGAGAGGCCAGAGCGAGAGAGAGAGAGAGAGCAGAGGAGAGAGAGAGCAGAGCGAGAGAGGCCAGAGCGAGAGAGGCCAGAGCGAGAGAGGCCAGAGCGAGAGAGGCCAGAGCGAGAGAGGCCAGAGCGAGAGAGGCCAGAGCGAGAGAGGCCAGAGCGAGAGAGAGAGGCCAGAGCGAGAGAGAGAGGCCAGAGCGAGAGAGAGAGGCCAGAGCGAGAGAGAGAGGCCAGAGCGAGAGAGAGAGGCCAGAGCGAGAGAGAGAGGCCAGAGCGAGAGAGAGAGGCCAGAGCGAGAGAGAGAGGCCAGAGCGAGAGAGAGAGGCCAGAGCGAGAGAGAGAGGCCAGAGCGAGAGAGAGAGGCCAGAGCGAGAGAGAGAGGCCAGAGCGAGAGAGAGAGGCCAGAGCGAGAGAGAAGAGGCCAGAGCGAGAGAGAGAGGCCAGAGCGAGAGAGAGAGAGAGAGGCCAGAGCGAGAGAGAGAGGCCAGAGCGAGAGAGAGAGGCCAGAGCGAGAGAGAGAGAGAGAGAGAGAGAGGCCAGAGCGAGAGAGAGAGAGAGAGGCCAGAGCGAGAGCGAGAGAGGAGAGAGGCCAGAGCGAGAGAGAGAGAGGCCAGAGCGAGAGAGAGAGAGGCCAGAGGATTTAGGCTGCAGTACTGTGGGTGGCCTCTAGTCCAGGTGGAGACGGGTTTAAGCAGAGACACCTTCCATTGAATATCTCTCATCCATGACTTGTTAACAGGAGCTTGTGTTAAACCCTTCTCTCTCCCTCTCTCCCCCTCTCTCCCCGTTTTCAGGATCCATGTTCCTCCCCCCTACCTCGGCTCTGGGCGCTGGGCTGTACTCTGTGGCGGTGTACGGAGGCCTGGTTCTCTTCAGTCTCTTCTTACTCTACGACACACAGAAAGTCATCAAGAGAGCAGAGACTCACCCCGTCTACGCAGCACAGAAATATGACCCCATCAATGCGTACGTATACAAGGGCTGTAGGGGGGGAGGAGGGGAGGAGGGGAGAGACAGGGGAGAAGAGAGATTATAGATTATAGATGAGAGATTATAGATAAAAGCCAGAGAAGACACAAAAACTCCCTGAGAGACTTAAATTCTTCCACGGAAGTTCAGCAAAAGTAGTAACATTTATAAAATCATTCATATAAAATAGACTGGTTTCTCTTTCTGGTCTCCCTCTGTCTCAGCTGTCTCCCTCTGTCTGCATCTGTCTCCCTCTGTCTCCCGAACAGGAGGCATGCGCCTCCTGTTCGGCGACCCCGCTCCCATCTCTGTGTGGAGTGAAAGACAAGTGCCCAAAAATAACAATTGTAAACCGCTTTGTGACTCTGGTCTGTGAAAGGCGGTATATAAATAAAGCTTACTTACTTACTTACTTACTGTCTGCATCTGTCTCCCTCTGTCTCCCTCTGTCTCCCTCTGTTTCCCTCTGTCTCCCTCTGTCTCCCTCTGTCTCCCTCTGTCTCCCTCTGTCTCCCTCTGTCTCCCTCTGTCTCCCTCTGTCTCCATCTCCGGCTTTTCCTTTTGGTCTCTCCGGTCATTCCAGATTCAGCTCTAAAGTGAATGTGAGGTTTGACACAGGGTTAACACAGATGTCATTATATAACAACCAACTTCTACTGTTATTACTACCTCTTGTAATACCTTATTTTTCGGATTATCAATCGCTCCAGAAAATGCATAATAAAGAAGTAAAAAAACACAAATAGAATTTTCCTGACTGTCAAATGATACACGTATTGCTTTTCTCAATAGTTTAATCATTCAACTAAATATTTAAAATTTTACGGTAAATAAAATATAATATACATTTTACACATATGTCACTCCAGAGTATAAGTCTCACCCCTGGCCAAACTATGACAAAGATTTGCAGCTGTATAATGACCTGTGTTTGCACCTGTGTTTGCAGCTGTATGGGGATCTACATGGACACAATAAACATCTTCATGCGTCTCGTCATGATCCTGAGCGGGAACACAGGGAGAAAGAAGTGAAGGTTCCTCCTCCATCAGACGACTCAGACATTAACACTTCATTTAACAAGTTTTATATTTATTTTGACCGGAGCGAGCCGTGGATCACCGGTGTGTGTTGGTAATGAAAGAACAGAGAACCAAAGGAGCAGTGTGTATGTGTGAATACTGTCCATTCACAAATAAAATGTTGGAAAAGTCATTGCTTGTTTTTGAGTCATTTTGAATTTCAATACACTTTTTCAGGAAAGTGAGATATTTTTAAATGTAGAAGCAGACGTAGCAGTAATAGTAGTAGTTATTGTGTTTTTAGTATTAAAGATAGTAGTAGTAGTAATAGCAGTAGTACAGTATTATTTGGTATAGTAGTGGTATTAAGTAATTGCTATAGTAGAAGCAGGAATAATTTATGTGATTTCAAATGTATAAATAAAAACGAAAAGGGGGTTGGTCGAAGCAGACGCAGTGGTCTACTTTGAGCAGCAGGTGTCGCCAAAGCGCTGCATTAAACTCACCTCTTTCTATAATATTGTGTCGAGGTGGTGTGTGGTCTTGTGGTCATTACCCACCGGACACTCACCAGTCTTTACCAGTTTTGTATAAGAATTGAGTTGTAAAACCCTACTGGGATTCAGAATGATGATGTTTACTTCCAGTGTCTTTTAAACCCCACTCACTTGCTGGTCCATTTTTGTGTTTTCAAAGCTTTTGTGTTTTCAGCTTTAATGTTTATTTTACGGGCAGTGATGAACAGAGTTTAAGACTTTGTTGTTGTGGTTTGAACCATAGACTGTAAAGATTAAGTTTGAACAGGAAGCAGCAGGACCGGGAGATACAACATAACCCTAAACCCATCAACAAACACTGGGACAACAGTGTCCACTGCAGCTGTCCAGTCTGTACACAGGACCTTAGACCAAGACCACAGCTGAAGGTCAACATCTTTATGTCAGAGATGGTCTCTCTGCTCAGGAGTAAGCCTCAAGGTGAAGACCTGGTGATGGAGCCTCAGACCACTGCTCCAGGAGAGGTGCTCTGTGACCTGTGTCCAGAGCCCAGGCTCAGAGCCCTGAAGTCCTGCCTGCTGTGTCTGATGTCGTACTGTGAGAGCCACCTGCAGCCACACCTCACAAACCCCCGTCTGAAGAGGCGCCAGCTGCTCCGCCCTCTGCCCAACCTGGAGGAGCGCAGGCCCGGACTGGCCATCGGGAGCATCGGGAGATCTCCCGGTGGCCTGCGTGTCAAAGTGGCCTGGGCCTGCCCTATCATCACGGTCTTTTTTTCTTTTTCTTTTTTTTTCTTCTTTCTTTTAATTTAATTTCATCCTCACGGTCTTTGCAAACTCCTACCCTGCCTGGTGGCCTGGTCCAATGAGCAAGGCCCAGGCCAAAGGCAGTGTTGTGCGTGAACGAGTTCAAAAGAACGCGTTCATTGAACACGCTCATTTTTTCGTGAAACGTTGAACACATTTTTTAATAAATAAATTGAACGTGAATTAGTTCATATTATGTGTCATGAACGGCAGACAATTTGTTTTCCATTTAAAACTGAGTGAAATCTGTTTTCTCTTTTGAAACGCAACGAGAGAAAGTTCCTCCCTCCTGTATTCTCCGCACTGTTTCCGCCGAAAACTAAAAATTCCTACGGTTTCCACCGTCTGTGAACGCACCCCGACTCAGTGTACTTGCGGTGCGGCGCTGTATGCTAGTGCTATTCATTGGTTGTTGGACTCACATGTGCCGTGATGAAAACACAGGGGTAAGTCAGTGACACAGGGCCGTTTACATTTGACATAAAGTATAGACACACGCACTGCAGCGCATTACAGTTTGTACTTATGAGCAGAGATGGGACAACTCAGTTCCCATTGAAACCCATGTCAATCTGGTCTGCATTGGAGTCAAAACATCCTGTGCAGTGTACAGGATATTATATATATATATATATATATATATATATATATATATATAACACGTATTGTGATTTCTAGCTCGTAGTGAAAAAAAATATTTATTTGAATATCTCTTGCAAAAAGTAAAATGAACTGAACTTTGAACTAGTTCAGAATTAAAATTGAGAACTTTGAACGTGAACTGTTCACTTTGAGCATGTATGAACTGAACTTGAACTTGTTCAGAAAAGCTGTGAACTGGCACAACACTGGCCAAAGCTTTACTGTCATTGGGCCAGAGCAAAATTAAACAAATGTGACGTCACACGTCGGCTACACAGCCAGGCCAGCCTAGCAGTGCACCCAGTGTAGCTTCCCCAGCCTAGCAGTGCACCCAGTGTAGCTTCCCCAGCCTAGCAGTGCACCCAGTGTAGCTTCCCCAGCCTAGCAGTGCACCCAGTGTAGCTTCCCCAGCCTAGCAGTGCACCCAGTGTAGCTTCCCCAGCCTAGCAGTGCACCCAGTGTAGCTTCCCCAGCCTAGCAGTGCACCCAGTGTAGCTTCCCCAGCCTAGCAGTGCACCCAGTGTAGCTTCCCCAGCCTAGCAGTGCACCCAGTGTAGCTTCCCCAGCCTAGCAGTGCACCCAGTGTAGCTTCCCCAGCCTAGCAGTGCACCCAGTGTAGCTTCCCCAGCCTAGCAGTGCACCCAGTGTAGCTTCCCCGGTTGAAATGAGTGGTCTCTCCAACTGATGGTTCATACACGTTGTTATTTGTCCTTTTATATGAGCTGTAACGATGTGATTTTACCTTACTACTTTTTTAACAATAATTGATTAGCTTGTTATAGTTATACACTAATGAACACTTAGTTCATTGTGTGTGTGTGTGTGTGTGTCTTTATTCTCACTAAACTCCATAAACGTTACGTTGCTAAGCAACGTACAACAATCTTTAAACGTCCGAGATTATATAAACAGTCAATATGAAAAGAAATAAAGAAAACAAAAGTTTTGACAGTCAATCTTAAAACTATTAAAAGAACATCAAAATACAATGACAAAAACCCAAATTTAGAACCTTGTTTGGCCTGAATGGATGAAAAGCTCCCGGCCTGAAATGTTGTCCCACTCCGGCCCTGGAGGAGCGCATCTGCCCTGAGCACCAGCGGCCCCTGGAGATACTGTGCGTGACATCAGAAGTCCCTGCTGTAGCTTTCCCAGTGCAGTCTCCTCCAGAGAAGGTGGAAGTGTTTGTGGATTATGAAGAAGGTCTGGTCTCCTTCTACAATGTGGGGAAACAGTCTCGTATGTACTCTCTCACAGACTGTGGTTTCACTGAGAACATTCTACCACTGTTCAATCCATGTTAAAAAAAATGTCATCAAACTCTGCTCCTCTGGTCCTGACTCTGGGAGATCTACGTCCAGGACTAAAGAGGCAGAGAGCTACTGCTTTTAGACAGTCTACATAACATTGAGCTACTGTGGATTAAGTGGATTTTATCCAGATTTGGTCAGCTTTATCCTTAGTTCAATCACATATACAACTGCATTTCTTGTTCCTTTAAAATATTGTTTTAAGAACTTCCAAAAGTTCTCTAATACATTTTTGCCACGTTTGAATAATTTTTCTTTTTTTTGTCAATTTTTGCTGTGAAGTGTTAAACCCATAAAACCAAATCCATCATCATTCATTAGTGGAAAATGTAAGCAATTTTTATATTCACATTATCTTTTGGGGAGCTTCTGGTAGCTCGGTTGGAGACCAAAGGTTTCATGTAACAAAAGCTCTCTCTCTTTGGTCCAGAAGAGATTCTCTGCTGCTGCTGGAGTCTGTGTTCTTATGTTTGTAATGTTTGTGTCTGAATAAAGGGGAAAAACACCACTCATTCTTCACTTGTGTCTTTGGCCCATGGAGCGTATGTGAGGAGTGGACTGAGCAAGTGTGAGATCACCATAGATGTTTGTCATGGTGTGGATTTTGTGTAATTTTGTACTTTGGTTTTATTTTGACATTAGTTCTCTGTTGTTTAATTTTTAGTCAGACAAAACAAGACTAAATGCACGTGGGATACCCAGAAATGTTCCACATAGAATTCAATGTAAACTAAAACAGCTCGACCTCAGCTGACAGAGAACCTACAGCTTTCAAAAAGATCAGATTTTGTGGGAATTTTAGTGTCCCTGGTCACCCTGAACTTATTTTCTTCTTAAAGCCTTTGGTTTTCTTTAAATCCAAACTTTAGTGCCTTGAACTCTGCTCGAGCGTGTCTCCCGCTCTAACTCTGCTCTAGCTCTGCTCTGATCAGTAGCTCTGATTGGTCAAAGCGCGGCCAAGCCCCTTTGTGCACGTGCATGAGAGCCACATGTGTGTATTTGGCTCAAAGCATCATGGGAGCTTGTCCACTGCGCAGAACCGGGAGACACGGTGGCTGAGTGGATTGCACTTTCTCTTCTCAGCAAGGTCATAGGTTCGAATCCTGGTCGGAACAAGGCCTCCCTTTCTGAGTGAGAGTTTGAGCCACTCTGCACAGCCCTCCGGGTGCTCCGGTTTCCCCAACCTCTAAAAATAAGTACAATAGTTTAGTGTGGTTGTGAGTGTGAATGTGGGAAGAAAGATGGAAATCAGTCCAAGGCTATGAGTGATGTGTTGATCAACATGTACTGTCCCACCCAAATAAACTATAAACCACTACTATACTACTTCTGCTACTAGTACTACTACTGCTAAGTGTTTATAATAAAAAGTCAGATACCCCAGATTTAGATCACTTAATTCTGTTCTTTTCCATGAAGCCAGTTCACAACTTCTTCTGCTCCAGCGCCAGATACACAAGGTGTGATTCTCTCCCCCCTCTCCCCCTCCTTCCTCACCCCTCCCTCCCCCTCTCTCCCCCTGTTCACCGAGGCTGCGTCACCGGATTAGAACCACAAGTCTCTGTCTTCTCCACGTCTCCTCGCTGCTCACCTCGGCACACACACAGACCCACACAGTTTGACACACGGTTACGGGTCTTCTCTCCAAACCTCTCAATGATCTTCCACTCCCTCAAACCAGGATGAAGAAGGACCGAAGAACCCGTGCTCTGCTCCTCATGCTGTTGCTGTGTTTTGGCTCAGGTAAGATCCAGGGACTTCGGTTTAAGTAGCTCTAATCTGCTAGAATCTGCTAGCACACATGAGGATCTAGCCCTGTATACACCTGCGCTGCTCTACTGTACTCTACTGTACTCTGCCATACAGTACTCTATTCTACTCCACTCTGTTCTAGTCTGCTCTACTGTACTGTAGTCTAGTACATCTGTCTAGTCTATAATCGTTAACACCAGCCCGACTTGGCTCTACTCTACTGTCCCCTGATTGGTAGCATTTCTACTGGTCATGTGAAACCAGTCCTAGGTCCTTCTTTAGTCCCTCTTAGTCCTGGTTCTATGCAGGCCGAGCTGGTACTAAAGTGTTCTAACTGACAGTGATTGGCCAGAGTACTGCTGGAAGCCATGGTTACCAAGGAATTTTCAACTAATACTGGATTGTTTTGGGTCTGTTGCTAAGATACAGTACCAGATACTAAACCATAATGGAAACAGAACCAAGTAGAGCCGAGTAGAGCTAAGGTGGGTTGGTGGAAACTGGTCATCCTTCTTCTTCTATTTGTCAAATGTAAAGCTGAGGTACCTGACTTTCTCATAACAATAACACGTTTTAAAAAGCATGTTTTCTGATGAGACAAAGACGACAGATTCTTTCAGTTTCGGGACAAGCAAGTGCTATTTACGAAACAAAAACATTACGGTGCTCAGCTTTAAACAGCAAAAACCAAACCAATTTAAATGTCTTTCCATTTTCCTGCCTCTCTTGATGTCTGACCCAATAGCAAGTAAGTTCAGAGTCTCCTCTTTGTTGTCGTAGCCCCAGCCCCTGGTGTTAGTTTGATGCTATTCTAAGGCACAGTGATACAGGTTTGAACAGGGGTTGGATGAAGCAGACGCCAATCCAACTTCATTCAACAAAAAATACTCTACTCTGCTCTACTCTATTCAACTCTACTCTATTGTACTCTACTCTACTCTACTCTGCCATATGAACCTACTCTGAGGAACACAGGGACTGGCCTTCTGCTGGTGCCCAGAGTTAAGACTAAACATGAGGAGGCAGCATTTCAGATTCATGCAGCTAAAATCTGGAACAATCTTCCTGAAAATGTGAGACAGGCTTCTTCTCTGACAATGTTTAAATCTCGGTTAAAGCTGCAACAACTGAGGGTTTTTATATTATTATCTTTCTTTTTAAATGTGATTATTTTGCCTTGCCTCTACTCTACTCTGCTCTCACAGAATACACTGCAAATGATCAACATTCAGAATACAACACACACACTCTCTCTCTCTCTCTCTCTCTCTCTCTCTCTCTCTCTCTCTCTCTCTCTCTCTCTCTCTCTCTCTCTCTCTCTCTCATCTCTCTCTCTCTCTCTCTCTCTCTCTCTCTCTCTCTCTCTCTCTCTCTCTCTCTCTCTCTCTCTCTCTCTCTCTGTACATTGTAACAGTCTCTTTAACGTCGTTCCTTTAGTTTGTTTGCATGTTTTTGTCTGTGATGTCTGTGTCTTAATGTGACTTGAGTGTTATTTTCCCCAAAGGACATAGTGATTATGCGCCGTACTTTTACGACAATGGTCCGAGCAGCGACAACGGCAACATGAACCTGTTCAGTATTTCAGAGGACACACCAGTGGGTAAGAAAACACACTCATTTATACTATACAATATACTAGCTTCAACATTGGGATGTGAGTCTGTAAAAGCCTATAGCCTGTTTACAGATTAGGAGTGTGACAATATATCGATATGGTGATGTATCATGATACCTTCTCACAAATTGATTATCAATTTGCTTTTGCTAAGTATTTTTTTTATTTTATTTTTTTTATTCTATTTTTTAAGCTTTATTTGAAAAAAATAAGTATTGATACTTAATATTTGGTTACATTACGCATTCTACAAGTTCTGTAGAATGTTCGTATTGACTTTATTGGATGTAAGATAAAAAAAACTAAAATGTGCAGGTTAGGGCATTTTTGCTTGTTCACTTTAATGTTACACATGACACTTTATTCATTTATCTTGAAATAAAGTGTATATTTTCACTCAATTTATGCCATAAATATAAGAAAAATATTATCGTAGGTATATTTTGGATTTATCGATAATCGCTGCATCGTCATATCATGAGATAATCGTTATCGTGAACTTTGTATCGCACATCGTATCGTATCGTGAGGTACCCTGAGGAGCCCACCCCTAATACAGATTTTAACCACCCCCTTTATAATCCACGTCTCTGAAGGTAAAACTGCAGACTACTAGCTGATATGAAATAACTGATACACAGTGTGTTTAACTTGTAATGTTTAGTTAGAGACTTATTCCCACTAATACACAGGGAATTTTGCCTCTTCACTGGTCTCTCTCCTTGTCTATTGCAGCTGTCTCTATGGTCTCATTCTGGATTTTCTGATCTCTCACTGGTCTTTCACCGGTCTCCCTCTGGTCTTTCTCTAGTCTCTTTGGTCTCTCTCTTTGGTCTCTCTATCTGGTTTCTTTCCAGTTTCTCTCTATTGTCTCTTTCTCCGGTCTCTTTGTAGTCTCTTCTTCCGGTCTCTCCTTCAACTGTGACGTCTGACCCTGTGTGTTGTAGGATCCCTGGTGTATGTGTTGAACGGTACCGACCCGGAGGACGACCCGGTCTGGTACGGTCTGTCCTTCGACCAGGGATCCAGAGAATACTTCAGAGCAGAACCTCAGTCTGGGAACGTCACGCTGGTGCAAGAACTGGACAGAGAGGTCAGAGAGCTATTGCTACACCTACTACTCCTGCTGCTGCTAGTACTAGTGATATTACTACTGCTGTTACTACTACTGATACTACTACTACTTCTACTGCTAGTACTACTATTACGACTACTACTACTATTGCTACTATTTCTACTACGCCTAGTACTCCTACTGTTACCTCTACACAGTATTTTCGTGGAGCCCTTAGCATGTGTAAATCTGGGTGTGGTCGTCATGGTGATGGTGTTGTGTTTTCAGCTCCAGGATGAGATCTCGGTGTCTGTAAGCATAACAGACGGGCGTAACAAGGTGAGTGTAAGAATAACCTGACGTGTGAAATGTACAAACTAAACTGAAAGAAGATGAATATTCCGCCTCCAGCTTTCACCTGGTCCCAGAGCCTGTGTTCACGGTTGATGCTAACCCTCTAGCTACAACTCTCTCTGGCTCCTATTGACTTCTTTAGCCAATAGTGGTTAACGGCGTGTTGGTAGCACTGAGCTTACAGATCTATGCTCCTTGTCTTCTATTGTTTCGGTGGTCTCTCTCTCTCTGGTCTCTAATTAGTCTCTCTTTCTGGTTTCTCTCTGGTCACTCTTTGGTTTCTCTTTGGTATCTCTCTCTGGTCTTTCTTTGGTCGCTCTCTCCGGCCTCTCTCTAGTCTCTCTTTCTCTCTCTGGTTCTCTCTTGTCTCTCTCTCTCTGGTCTCTCTCTGGTCTCCCTGTCTGTTCTCTCTGGTCTCTCTCTCTCTGTTGTCTTTCTCTGGTCCCTCTCTCTTGTCCCTCTCTCTGGTGTCTCTCTGGTCTCTCTAAGGCTCCTCTATCTCAGTAAAAGTTTGTGTTACACTCACCATTCTGGTCATAAATCTGTGGTTTCCTGGTGTTTTTCCTGGTGAGTTTACTTTTACATGTTTTTCAATAGGAGCCAAAGAGAGATGGAGCAAAACTTCACCATGAGCACTTCCCTATTGGGCTTCATTGAGCTAGTGTGTTAGCATTGCTCATCTGTATACAGTCTATGGTTACACGTAAAGCTAATGTCCATATAAAGCAATTGGCTCCAGCTATCTTTTGTGCCTCTTCCCCACTAAGGCTAACAGTAGTGATGTCACATTCTAATATACAGTCTTTTTTCTCTTTGCTTCAGGTGGTGGAAACCGCCAGGATTTTTGTCACAGACGTAAATGACGAAGCTCCCGAGTTTCAGAACCTGCCATTTATAATCAGTGTCTCGGAGGTAAAACTAATTGAACTAGTCCCGTTTAATGAAAAGGCTCATTCCCACTGCACTGCGAAATTTTCCTCTGCCTTCCTGGTTCTAGTTTCTCTCTCTCTCTCTGGTCTCCCTTTTTGGCCTCTCTCTGGTCTCTTTCACTCGCTGGTCTCTCTCTGGTCTCCTTCACTTGTCTCTTTGGTCTCTCTCCCTGGTCTCTGGTCTCTCTTTTTGGCTTCTCTTTGATTCCCCTCTGGTCTCTCTCTCTGGTCTCCTTCCCTTGTCTCTCTCTGGTCTCTCTCTCTAGTCTCTCTCTCTAGTCTCTCTCTCTGATTCCCCTCTGGTCTCTCTCTCTGGTCTCTCTCGATCTCTTGTCTCCCTTTCTGGTCTCTCTTTCTGGTCTCTCTCTCTAGTTTCACTCTGACCCCTCTCTCTGTTTGTTTCAACCCTTCTATTTTGACACGTTCCTGTCCAAACAACACGCCACCCTTTCCCACTGCTTTCTCAGGTCCACACAGACTGCCTTTAGTCTCATTCTTGTGTTTTTTGTCGATCACTTCTGGTCAGGACGCAGCTCCAGGGACCAGCGTCTACAAAGTGGAGGCCGTGGACAGAGACATGGGCTCAGGAGGAAGCGTGTCCTATTCGCTTCTGGTAAAACTCATCTTTCTCCCTTTGCTCTCTCTGGTCTCTACCTGGTCTCACTCTTTCTGGTTGGCCTCTTGCTGGTCTATCTTTCCTCTCTCTGGTCTCTCTTTTTAGTCTCTCTCTCCAGTCTTTCTTTCTGATCCCTTTCTGCCATTAGGTCCCTCTCTCTTTCTGGTCTCTCTTCAGCCTCTCTTTCTGGTCCCTCTCTCTGGTTTCTCTTTGGGCTCTCTCTGGTCTCTCGCTCGTTCCGATCCCTCTCTGGTCTCTCTCTGCCTCCCCCCCTTTTTTCTGGTGTTTCTCTCTAGTCTTTCTCTTTATCTGGTCTTTCTCCTTGGTCTCCTCTGAACTAAGCAAGCCACAAAAGTTTTCTTCTGGCTTTAAAGCTATTATTTATACAAGGTTGTTGTTGTTGTTGAAGGCCGTGAAAGATGACCCTGTTTGTGAGGGACCAGAGTGCTGCGATAAAACTAGCTTCTGTTGCCATTTTAATTAAACCGCTGTTAGCTTCAGTTTCTAATATTCATAATTGCTGCTTTTTTTAGCCTTGTTTTTTCTGCCTTCTCATGCTGGTGGATTTATCGTCCCAAAATCACTTTGTCATTAATATTTGCCTCAGCACGTGTTCGGTCTGTATAATCTTTGACCGCTAGCAGCTCCGGAGGCCGTTAGCCGTTAGCGGATTAGCATCGACAGACACCATGTGGCTCCCAGACCTTTCCAATTATAAAAAGCTGATCCTACGTCCCGCGTTGAGTTTGATGAAAATGTGAAATATCATTATGTTATCAAAGGGTTGAGATGAGAGACACAGGAAAGCTGCGATTATCTGAGTTGCAATGTGTTAAAATGGACCCTTTCATTACTAGCCAAGTTCTTCCAATATTAGCACGCAATTCTCAAAGAAAATTCAAGTTGGCGCCAATAATTTTTTAGTTTCATAGATAATACATGTTTGACCCAATAGCTACCTCTCCGTTTTCATCTAACTAGAAAACACTATATCTTGTGTAAGTCAGAGCCCTGTAAAACACTATTTGCCGCTTGATGCTGAGAGCTGAATGGTTGAGTGAACTCAGTCCTCTGTTTTTTCACTATGGACTTTCTGGTCGCTCTCTCTCTGCTCTTTTACTCTCTCTCTCGTCTCCCTTCAGTCTATCTCTGGTCTCTCTGCTCTTTTGTTGGTCTCTCTCTCAAGTCTCACTCTGTTCTCTCTAAAATCTCTCTGGTCTCTCTCTCTGGTCTCCCTTCAGTCTATCTCTGGTCTCTCTCAGCCAGGTCTCTCTCTCTGTCTCAAGTCTCACTCTGGTTTCTTTCTGGTCTTTCTTGATTCTGTCTCTGGTCTCTCTTTGGTCTCTCTCTGGTCTCTCTCTCAAGTATATCTCTGGTCTCTCTCTCAAGTATATCTCTGGTCTCTCTCTCAAGTATCTCTCTGGTCTCTTGTCTGGCCTCTGTCCCTGGTCTCTCTCTGGTCTCTCTCTCGAGTCTCACTCTGATCTCTTTCTGGTCTCTCTCTTGATTCGCTCTCTGGTCTCTCTCTGTATTCGCTCTCTGGTCCCTCTCTCTGGTCTCTCTCTCTGGTCTCTCTCTGGGGCAGACATCTTGGAAAAACAAAGGGCTTTGTATTGTCCATTGACTTGACAATGTTATGGAGATCACACATCAGGATGTGGCCCTTTGCCTGGAGGACCATGTGGAGGTCACCAGTTGTGAGCGAGTGCTGGTCTCACACTGACTCCGTGTCAGGAGATTATCATATTTTTCAATCACATCTGAGCAGTGACAGGTTTAGCAGGAGCTTAGCGAGCGACAGAGAGGTGCGGAGAGGGCAAGACCCAAACATGAGGCCTGGAACTGTCACATACAATGGACAGTTTTATTGTCATTGTCGTTGTGTCCTTGGCAAGACACTTAACCTCTGGGAACACCAGGTGCCACAGTGGGGCAGCTGCGGCTGTAAAGTGCCAAACTGCCGTTGTGTCCTTAGCCAAGACACTTCACCCCATTGCCTAGAATGAGTCTGGTGTGTGTGAATGGTTGGTGGTGGTCGGAGGGGCCGATGGCACAAACTGGTTGCCTCGCTTCTGTCAGTGTGCCCCAGGGCAGCTGTGGCTACAGTAGTAGTTTATCACCACCGTGTTTGGAGTGAAAGAATAATGACATGTAAAGTGTCTTTGAGTGTCCAAAAAAGTGCTGTATAAAACTGATGCATTATTATTATTATATTCTATGGTATGGTCTAAGAATGGTCTATGGTTAAAAGAATGATCTCTCCGTGGTCTCCCTCTCTCTGGTCTCTCTCTGGTCTCTCCGTGGTCTCCCTCTCTCTGGTCTCTCTCTGGTCTCTCCCTGGTCTCTCTCTGGTCTCTCTCTGGTCCCTCCCTGGTCTCTCTCTGGACACTCTCTGGTATCTCTCCGGACATTCTCTGGTCTCTCCCTGGTCTCTCCATGGTCTCTCTGTCTCTCCCTGGTCTTTCTCTGGTCTCTTTGGTAACCCTTGTGTATTTTGTCAGGCCTCCTCCTCTGGTCCCTTCACCATCGACCCTCACAGCGGGATCCTCAGAGTCCGACCAGGAGAGACTCTGGACTATGAGACCACACCCACTCACTTCATCACCGTCATTGCCAAGGTAACCAGTCAAAACAACAACCAAATCCATCAAAGTTAAGTACAAACCAAGTGCAATGTGCTGTATTGGAATTAAACGTTTGAGCTGTAGTTTTGTTGTATCCTAGAGTCGGCTCTCTCTCTCTGGTCTTTTGGTCTCTCTCTGCTCTCTCTTTCTGGTCTTCTGTTCTCTCTCTAGTCTATCTCTGGTCTCTCTCTGATCTCTCTCTAGTCTCTCTCTGGTATCTGAACCCTGGTCTGTTGTGCTTCAGGATGGAGGGGGGAAGTTCAAAGGTCGTCACCAGGTGCTGTCGTCTAAAGCCACCGTCACCGTGAACCTGGAGGACGCTCAGGACATGGCGCCGGCGTTCGTGGGGACGCCGTACTTCGGATATGTTTACGAAGTCTCCGTCCCCGTAAGTTCTGAAACACACACTGAAACGGTCTCTCTCTGGTCTTGCTCTGGTCTCTCTTTGGCCTCTCGCTGGCTTCTTACTGGTCTGTCTCTGGTCTCTCCCTGGTCTCTCTCTGGTCTCTCTCTGGTCTCTCTCTGCTCTCTCTCTGGTGTCTGAACCCTGTGCTATTGTGTGTTTGTCTCCAGGGCTCTGAAGTCTTCACAGTCTCTGCCAGAGACGGGGACCAGGGGAACCCCAACCTCATGCACTACCAGCTCATCAGCGGTCTGCCTCCTCAACACATTTATTTGTTATTGTCTATTGTCTTCATATTTTAGACATATAGCACAAGGAGCCATTTAGCAAATTTAGTCCTAGAAGGCTTTAATCCAGATACGTGTTTGACCAGTCTCTCTCTGGTCACAATCTCTCTCTGGTCTCTCTTTATGGCTTCTCTGTTCTTACTCTAGTCTCTCTCTCTCTGATATCTCTCCTGTCTCTCTGGTCACTCTCTCTGTTCTCTTTTCCTGGCCTCTCTCTGGTCTCTCTCTTTTTTCCAGAGAGAGGCCAGAAGTCTCTCTGGCCTCTCTCTGGTCTCTCTCTCTGGTCTCTCTTTAGTCTCTCTCTCTGGTCTCTCTCTCTGGTCTCTCTCTGGTCTCTCTCTCTGGTCTCTCTCTCTGGTCTCTCTCTCTGGTCTCTCTCTCTGGTCTCTCTCTGGTCTCTCTCTCTGGTCTGTCTCTCTGGTCTCTCTCTCTGGTCTCTCTCTGGTCTCTCTCTCTGGTCTCTCTCTCTGGTCTCTCTCTGGTCTCTCTCTCTGGTCTGTCTCTCTGGTCTCTCTCTCTGGTCTCTCTCTGGTCTCTCTCTCTGGTCTCTCTCTCTGGTCTCTCTCTCTCTGATGTCTGGTGTGTTTCCTCAGGTGCAGAGGGAGTGTTTGACATCAACAGCACCAGTGGCTGCATCACCCTCAACACTCCTCCCTCCAGTCTAAGGAACGAGCTCTACGAGATTGTTGTCAAAGTAAAATCTCTAACTATTCATTAGTATTTAAAAGAACGCACTCAAAAGCAGCACAGCAGCCAAAGTTGAACTGTGTCTGATGTAGAGCAATCTACAGGACTAAGAAGTTAAAGGACCAACTTCTTCCAAGCCCATTCTCAGTCTCTCTCTCTGGTTTCTCTCCAATCTCTCTCTGCTCTCTCTCTAGTTTCTTTCTTTGGTCTCTCTCACTGGTCTCTCTTGGCTCTGTAGTCTCTCCCTCTCTTCTTTCTCTTGGGTCTCTCTCTCTCTCTCTAGTCACTCTGTTCTCTCTCTCTGCTCTCTTTCTAATTATCAATCTTAATATAATTTCTCCTGTGTGAGATAATAAAGTACATCTTATCTTAATAACCAACAATAATTCATATTTTTTCTCTTTAATTCTTTTCTTCCTCTGGTCTCCCTCTGGTCTCCCTCTGGTCTCCCTCTGGTCTCCCTCTGGTCTCTCTCTGGTCCTCCCCTCAGGCGTGGGAGCAGGCCCCAGACGGGTCTCTCTTGGCTTGGGACCAGACCACGGTGACAGTGAGGGTGGTGGACCTGAACAACCACCCGCCGACCTTCTACGGAGAGAACGGGCCTCAGAACCGCTTCGAGCTCACGCTAAGCGAGCACCCTCCGGCTGGCGAGATCCTGCGAGGATTCAAGATCACCGTCAACGACTCGGACCAGGTCAGGATCAGCTCTCACCATCTGGTGTACCATCTCTATCTCTCTCTGCTCACTTCCTCTGGTCTCCCTTGTCTCTCTATCTCGCTGGCGTCTGTCTCTGCTTTCTCTGTCAGCTCTCGCTCTCTCTGCTCTCTCACTCTCTCTGCCCACTTCCTCTGTTCTCTCTCTCTCCCGCTGGCGTGTCTGTCTCTGCTTTCTCTCTCAGCTCTCTCACTCTCTCTGGCAGCTCTCTCTATGCACTCTCTCTCTCTCTCTCTCTGCTCTCACTGCCTTTTGCCTGCTCTCTGTTTCTCTGCTCTCTCATTCTTTCTCTCTCTCACTCTCTGTTCTGTCTCCCACTCTCTCTGGCCTCTACTCTCTTCTCTCTCTCTCTTTCTCTTTCTCTCTCTCTCTGCTCTGTCTGAATCTCATGTTGTTTTCTGCAGGGAGCCAATGCAAAGTTCAAGCTGCGGCTGGTGGGGCCCAGCCACGTCCTCAGAGTGGTTCCTCAGACGGTTCTCAATGAGGCCCAGGTCACTATCATTGTGGAGGACACCAGCGGCATCGACTATGAGAGAGGCCCGACATTGTCCTTCAAGGTACTGCTACTGGTACTGCTACTGGTACTGCAACTGCTACTGCTGCTGTTCTGGGTGTGGGTCAGAGGTGGACCAGAGGACACATTGCTACTATGAGACCAGAGAGAAAGGCTAGAGGGAGAGACCAGAGAGAGAGAGAAGAGAAGAGACCAGAGAAAGACAGACCAGATAATCAGAAGAGAGAGACAAGAGGGAGAGACCAGAGTAAGAGAGAACAGATACCAGATAAAGAGAAGAAATAGAGAGAGAGGGAGGTACCAGAGAGACCATAGCGAGAGAGACCATAGCGAGAGAGACAAGAGAAAATGCTGCCTCTCTCTGGTCTCTCTCGCTCTGCTCATTCTCTGGTCTATATCTGCTCTCTCTCTCTGCTATCTGAATAGGGGTTGTCACAGCAGTTCGCCACAAGTCTAAAATCACGCCTCCCTTTCCCTCTCTCTCTGCAGCTGTTGGCAGTGGAGGTGGACACTCCCGAGAGGTTCAGCTCCACCGCAGACATCCTCATTCATCTCCTCGACACCAACGACAACACTCCACAATTCACCTCCGAGTATTACATCGCCAGAGTCCCAGAGAACTCTGCTGGAGGCTGCAGCGTGGTGTCTGTGCAGGTCAGACAGCAGCAGCAGAAGTCCTCTCTCTCAGTCCTCTCTATCTGTCCACTGTCCTCTCTCTGTCCACTGTCCTCTCTATCTGTCCACTGTCCTCTCTCTGTCCACTGTCCTCTCTCTCTGTCCACTGTCCTCTCTGTCTCTGTCCTTTCTCTCTGTCCACTGTCCTCTCTGTCTGTCCACTGTCCTCTCTCTCTCTGTCCACTGTCCTCTCTCTCTCTGTCCACTGTCCTCTCTCTCTGTCCTCTGTCTGTCCACTGTCCTCTCTCTCTCTGTCCTCTTTCTCTGACCACTCTCAGTCCAATGTCCTCTCTATCTGTCCTCTCTATCTGTCCACTGTCCTCTCTCTCTCAGTCCACTGTCCTCTCTGTCCTCTCTCTCTCTGTCCACTGTCCTCTCTATCTGTCCTCTCTCTCAGTCCACTGTCCTCTCTGTCCTCTCTCTCTGTCCGCTGTCCTCTCTATCTGTCCTCTCTCTCAGTCCACTGTCCTCTCTCTCTGTCCGCTGTTCTCTCTATCTGTCCTCTCTCTCAGTCCACTGTCCTCTCTGTCTGTCCGCTGTCCTCTCTATCTGTCCACTGTCCTCTCTCTGTCTACTGTCCTCTCTATGTCCACTGTCCTCTCTATCTGTCCTCTCTCTCAGTCCACTGTCCTCTCTCTCTATCCGCTGTCCTCTCTGTCTGTCCACTGTCCTCTCTCTGTCTACTGTCCTCTCCTCTCTCTCTGTCCTCTCTCAGTCCACTGTCCTCTCTCTCTGTCCTCTCTCAGTCCACTGTCCTCTCTGTCCTCTCTCTCTGTCCTCTCTGTCTCTGTCCTCTCTCTGTGTCCTCTCTCTCTGTCCTCTCTTTCTGTCCAGTAAAAGGCTTCATTCTCCTCTGGATAATCTCATTGACCTGCTGGTAATCCCACTCCCACTGTGGGATTAGGACCCTCAGTGTTCGGACGCTCACACAACAATATGGAACATTGTTTACTTTGTCATCCAATGTTATAGAAATGTGAAATTAGGGAAATATTTGGATAATTATAAAAATGAACTTGATTGGGATAAAAATACAGTTTGCTTTGGATCAGGCTATATACAGTGTGTGTAATCTTGAGGTGACTCTCTCCGGTCTCTTAGGTTTCTCTCTCTAGTCTCTCTCTGGTCTCTCTCTGGTCTCTGTCTCTGGGTCCTCTATTATCTTTCCAGTCTTTCTCTCTGGTCCTTCTCTATTGTCTTTCTTCTCTCTCTCTGTGCTTTCCCTAGTCTCTAGTCTCTCTCTCTGGTCCTTCTCTGTGGTCTCTCTATGATCTTTCCGGTCTTTCTCTCTGGTTTTCCTCTGGTCTATCTGGTCTCTGTTAACATGGTTGTGTTGTGCTCAGGCAGTGGATCCAGACTCTGGTCCCTGGGGAGACGTCTCTTACACCATCTACGGCTCCGGAGCAGATCTGTGAGTTTATAATTTTACTCCTCAAAGCTACTTCACTTTTTCCCAATCTTGGTGTCACTGGTCTCTCTCTGCTCTCTCTCTTTTTCTGGTCTCTTTTTCTATCTCTCTGGTCTCTCTGCTCACTTGCTTCTATCATCAGTTTTCATGTATGTTCGACATCTTCATCAGCTTTTTCAGACCAAAGAGCGAGACGAGAGAGAGATCAAATAGCGACCAGAGAGAGAGACCAAATAGAGATCAGAGAAAGAGATCAGAGAGAGAGACCAAAGAGAGAGACCAGAGAGAGAGACCAGAGAGAGAGACCAGAGAGAGACCAGAGAGAGACCTGAGAGAGAGACCAGAGAGAGAGACCAGAGAGAGACCAGAGAGAGACCTGAGAGAGATCAGAGAGAGAGACCAGAGAGAGACCAGAGAGAGAGACTAGAGAGAGAGACTAGAGATAGAGACCAGAGATAGACCAGAGAGAGACAAGAGAGAGACAAGAGAGAGACAAGAGAGAGAGACAAGAGAGAGACCAGAGAGAGACCCTGTCAGAGGGTCATGTGGATTCAGGCTGCAGTACCATGGGTGACCTCTAGTCCATGTGGATTCATGTTTAAGCAGAGAAACCCTCACATCCTGAGTCTTAACACGTCCGTATCAGCGCTGAAATAAGGCCTTCTCTCAGCTTTAGTCACTCGGCAGATTTCTCGTAAACACTACTTTTATCTCGCAACACGTTCATTGGCTGTGAACTCTCCGTGACTCCGTCCTGGCCTGGCCTCTGATTGGCCGACTCAGCTCGCAGCTACGCATCCCAAAATGGCCGCCGCTGTGCCTCCGCCAGATAATCTCCTAATTGGATGAAGCCTGTTTTAAAAATAGCCCGGCGCCTGTTGTTTGGGAGCAGGGCTAATTAGCATCTGTGACGAGAAAGTGAGAATTTACACACGTCTAACAACCTGCGCTGCTGCTGCGAAGGCGAGACATCACTGACGCAGGAGGAGGAAGGGATGAAATTTAACTGATATAACACTGCGATTATACAGTTATAAAGCCCTGTTTCCACCCTGTACCACTCTACTGTACTGTACTCTACTCTACTCTGCTCCGCTCTACCCTACCCTTCTCTACCCTACTCTACTCTCTTGGTCCTGGTTCTTTTCAGGCCGAGCTGGTACTAAAGTGTTCTAACTGACAGTGATTGGTCAGAGTGTTGTTGGAAGCCATGGTTACAGTACAGTAGGACAGTATACTGATGGACAATGCTAACCTGCTAGCTCAATGAAGCCCAATAGGGAAGTGCTCATGGTGAGGTTTACTCTAGCTCAGCAACCGTTCATGTCACACTCACCATTTTGGCTTAAATCAAATTATATTGTGATATTGTCTTAATCTAAATCCAGATAGATTTAGTTATAAAATGAATCTACACATTCAGCAGATACAGTAAAATGAGAGGAAGACTTTGCTCTCTGTCTGTCGTATGCACTTTAATCTTGTCACTTTAGTCTCGTTTGCATAATGTAAAAGCTGAGATAAAGTAGACATTTTCCTGTTGAATGTGTTTTCCCTCTGGATCTGACAGTTCTCAAGGTGTGATCGACAGAGTTTCAGTTTCTCCATCTGAAAAAGCCAAGAGAATTGGTGTCTCTCTCTGCTCTCTCTCTGGTCTCTCTCTCTGCTCTTTCTCGCTGGTCTCTCTCTCTGCTCTTTCTGCTATCCCTCTGGTCTCTCTCTGCTCTCGCTCTGGTCTCTCTCCCTCACGGCTCCCTGGTCTCCGCAGGTTCTCCATCCACCCCTCTTCTGGCCTGATCAGCACACAGCCCTGGACCAGTCTGGACGCGGAGGTCAGGTCTAAGTATAACTTCTACGTGAAGGCGGAGGACTCTGAAGGGAAGTACAGCTTGGCAGAGGTCTTTGTGACGGTCGCCGACATGAACGACCACCCGCCCGAGTTCCAGGAGAAACAACTGGAGAAAACCATGATCATCGGCTCCCCGGTCAAAGTGGAGGTGTGTGTTTGTTTGTGTGTGAAGGTGTGACAGAGGCCAGACCTATGTGCGAACTAGTGATTGTCTCTCTGGTCTCTCTCTGGTCTCTCTCTGGTCTCTCTCTGGTCCCTCTCTGTTCTCTATCTGGTCTCTATCTGGTCTCTCACTTGTCTCTCTCTCTGTTCTCTCGCTGATCAAACACCACAATTACTCTATTCTTTTTCCTCTCCAGGCGGTGGACGATGACGCAGAATCTCCCAACAACCTCATCGAATACTCCATCATGAGGGCCGACCCGGACAACGCCTTTGACATAAACGCAGAGACAGGAGAGATCTACCTCAAGCCACACATAAAGACCATGGAGATCGTCCAGAACATCACCAGACAGAAGGACTGCACCTGGTCTTTGGTGGTCCAGGCCAAGGACTTAGGATCCCCCTCTTTCAGTACCACAGCCCTGGTGAACATCGACATCACAGAGGCGGTGAGTAGCCCAAAACAGCTCAGAACAGGTTAGCTAGGGGCTCTAGACGCTGCTGCTGCTACTGCTGCTTCTGCTACTGCTAATGCTAATGCACATTCATCAGGTCATCCCATTAAACTGTAAATGTTTTTGTCATATGGTTGCATTGGTTTTGCTTCGAAATCTTTCACAATCCCAAATATTTGATCTTTATCATTCGTATTAAGAAGATATTCTGGTCCCTGTATTACTTCTGTTCTCTACTACTTACTGTACTACTGTTGGACTATGGCAGATTAAAAATGTATATAAAATCAGCGATAAAGGATGTGAATATACTTACAATATGTGTAATATTTGTTAGTTTTAAACATTTACTATTGCTATTGTGTTAATCGGTTCTGTAAATAGAAAAGAGAATAGGACCAAAGACAGAACCTTGAGGAACCCCTTTGAAATAGGACACACGTTACTATTGTGTAAAATCTTATTTTTAGCTCAAAATATTTACCTATGATACTGAAATATGATGATTTTCATAACATATCTTTTCTGGTCACATGTATTTAATATATTTTTAAGTACTGGGGATTATGGTTAGATGCAAAAATTAATACAAATAAAGCTCAATTCAATCCACGTTATTTATTAACACACATAATTCAAATACATTTATCTAGGTCAAGGACTCACTCTGTAGAGCTAGGACTGGGGTTGTAGATCCAGGACTGAGGCTGTAGACCCAGGACTGAGGCTGCAGATCCAGGACTGAGACTGTAAATAACATCCCTAGTGTCTTTTGTGTGTTTTAAGTATTTTAAAGTACAAGAAAACCAATAGCCAAAACCAATGCAATCCTTCAATCAAATTCATATTGTTTCATCATTTTATCATTTTCATTTTCTCATAACTGGTTTTGTCTCTGGTTCTTGTCTTCGTCTGGTGAACTGTGATGTCTGTAGATCAAGGGCCGAGTTATCACGTACTTTCGGGGCCTGAGAAAACGGCCCCTGACCGTTTTCGGAATCTTTTTCAGCCTCGTCATGTCTCTCATTTTGCTCACCGTCTGCATCTCCACCGTCTTGTATTGTAACTCTGTGAAAAAGTCCCGGATTTGTCCTGAGAATAGCTATATCAAAGTGATCCGAAGAGCCAAGTGACCGGCGCTGGATCCCTAAAGCTTCCGAAAGACTATTTTTTTATAAAGATTGTTGTCGATAACTCTGGGTCTATCGAGTGTTTCTGCTCAAAATTGTTGTTTTTTTCACTGGGTCTAATGGAAAGCATTAGGTTATGGTATAGAGTAGGTAGTTAAAGTTATGCAGACTGAGCTAAACCTGAGTACAGTGGTCCTTCGAGACGGTTGCTAAGGAAACCTGGAGTCCCTGCCTAAATTAAGGCATCTGATTGGTCTACATGGCTCATATCTGGATTTACAAAGACAATATCGCATTACTAACACCAAGATCGACTTGAGCGCTAAGCTACGATTATTTATGCCCAATATGATGAGTGTGACACAAACAGTTACTGAGATAAATGAGTTTACTTTTACATATAAGTTAATGCGAACCAGAGTGAGTTGGAGCTAGCAGGTTAGCATTGTCCATCCGTATGCAGACTATGAGGGCAACACACCGGGGGATTGAGACTTCAAAACCAACAACAATTAGAGATTTCTGTCTGGGTGAACTGTTCATAATACAATATTTATGTCTGTATTGAAGAATCCTTTTGAATAAGCCTTTTAAATCACTGTAAATCATCTTTTGGCTCACAGACCATAACGAACTAGAAGAATTCACTTGTATGTGTTATTCAAGTATTTCCTATGAGATGAACTGGTCATGTTGATTATGTTCTTCCACGGCAGCTATCTCTTTGTCCTACAATTTCTTAACAAATGTATTTTTATGTTGATATCGTCAACGTTTTCAGAGTTTTGGTGCAAGAATGCTTTTTATACAGCAGGCAAAAAGAACTTAGGAAAGAACTGACAAAAATTGGTCAAGATATGGACTTTTAAATACTATTACAGCCCAGCCTCCCAGACATGCCAGTCTTCTCACATTCTTTAGGACCATGAGGACCTAGAGACAGCGTTATGTTGCTAACCTGCTGAACTTTGCTGGATTAACCGACTGAGAGATTCTGGGTTAATCCACAAGTCTTAATGTGGTCTCTGTGTCTCTATAAACATCCACTGAAACCATCTTGTTTTTCTTTCTGTCTTTGTAACATGTTTTATTATCGCTTTGTGCCGTTAAAAGTCAAAAAGATCAGTCTGTGAAGAACTACCAGGGAGTGAGACCAGAAAAAGAGAGATCAGAGAGAGACCACAGAGAGACCTGAGATATCAAACCTGTATGTTGAAGGTCTGAGCTCTGCTGCAGCTGTCAAAAGCCGTGCATGCACTGTAAAATACATCTGCAGAGGACGCTGAGGGGCAAGAGCCGTTCACTGTGGTAGTGAACGGCTGTGGTACTGTTGATGTGAGTTAAATGTCTGTGTGTCGCTTACACCCTTAATATCATCAATGTTTTCTGTATTTTTGTTTTGTCTTTAAAACAGGTTTTATCATTGCTTTGAGCCATAAACCCGGCTTTTACTGCTGTATGTGCCAATGCTGATGCTGTGTTGTGATTGGCTGAGCCTGGTAATGTCAACGTCAGATTTATTTGTATCGCACATCTACAACAACACCAGCTGTCATAAGATTAGAGATCTTGTATTCATCCCACTGTGGGGAAATTCCAGTGTTGTCTTCTGCAGACCAGACACCTGTTTATATCCAGCAATCTCTCATTCAACGCTTGCACATATACTGTAGACTAATGCTAAAATGCTAACATCTAGATTAGACATGTGTAAAAAATCCTGTACACATTCATTTGCATGCTTTAAAATTGCGCTACAATGCTAACATAGCCGCTAGCGTTTTGAGTATAAAACTTTTATTTTTTGTGGTTCTTTTGAAAGACAAGTTAGATGAATTACTTTGCTTACATGTTTTGGCTAACAAGCTGATACATCTAACTCTTCTACAAAAGTGCCACAAAACAAAACGTTTTAACTGAAGACAAAATGAACCTTTGAATCAAACTAAATAACCGTCTTCTCTTGCAGGACCACCTTAAAGGGCCAATGGCTGCATTCTTACTGCGCAGTAGGGACAATCCGATGAAGGCTATTGCGATGCTAATTGGTATTGTTAGTGTGTTTTTGGGTGTGACCGCAATGTTGTCCACGGCATTGTTTTTGCGCAACTCCAAGTCCAACAGAATCACTCCGGTTCGCCGCATCATCAAACGGCGGCAAGAGAAAACCCGGCAGACGTCGGCGTGGAGGCTCCAAATGCCACTGTTCTCACGCCCAAACCCCGGGATCAAGTTCCTGATCGAGGACACAGACGCCAACCGAGACCAGGAAGCCGGCAGGTCCAGTCCAAGGCCCAGACCGCAGCCTCCGAGCGCGCCTCTGCCCCCACCGCCCCCCTGCCTCAGCCGAGCGAGCGAGAGACCCAGACCAGTGCCCACGGTATCCGGAGCGTTAGCCTCTAAAGCGTTCAATAAAGCTAGCCGGCGCAAAGAGGGAAACATGAGCTCGGCTTTGGTCTCGGAGCTGAAGCAGAAACTGGAGCAGAAGATCATTGAGAGTAATAAGGGGTACTACTGCTGAACGGTGATGTATGTGTCTATCGCCCTGTTCGTACTGTAGGTACCGTACTTTCTGGACAATAAGGCGCACCTGTATATAAGCCGCAGGTTTCATGTTGTAATGTAACGATTCTTTTGTTACAAAACGATTTTTTTGTCACAAAACATGACAAGGTTTAACAGCTTCACCGTTAGCTTCTGTGACTCATTCACCGTTAGCTTCTGTGACTCATTCACCGTTAGCTTAGCTGTGCAAACAGGGATTTTTAGAACACGTGGTAAAAACAAAGAAAGAATCTAAAAGCAGGAATGTAAAAAAGAGAGATTTAATGATAAATAAAAGGAAGAATCCGGGGGAAAAGCACAGGGACAAAAGTGTGAACATTTAACTCGTAACTAAACATGTATTTTTAGGAAGAATTACTTAACTACAAATCAAATAAATATCTACATTGAAAGAAGTTATAGATTCATAGATTAAAGCGTTTGGTATAATCTCCATTTTCCCCTTTACTTCTACTGATTTGACGGCGCATATGGTTCACCCAATGTATTTGTATTTACTGTAGTCCTAAATCACAACAGCAGTCGTCGCAAAGTTGCCAATTCCTCAACCACAGATCAGAGAATCTGAAGACAGCAAATGCACTACTAACTGAGGCTGTAGATCCAGAACTAAAGCTGTAGATCCAGAACTAAAGCTGTAGATCCAGAACTAAAGCTGTAGATCCAGAACTAAAGCTGTAGATCCAGAACTAAAGCTGTAGATCCAGGACTGAGGCTTTAGATCCAGGGGAGGAGAGAACCGGGGTTCAGTTCAGAGGGACTGTAGAATGACCTGGTAAATATCATGGCTTTTCCATCATCTCAGCGTGTGCACAGACTCCAGCCCTACAGCACCATCTTGAGGAGATTACTGCTGCTCAGCCTCCTCCCACCTCCTTCAAAGCACATACTCCTCATGCTAATCCTCAAAGCCTACCCTACTCATGTATGGGAGAATACAGTAGAATACAGTAGAGTAGAATACAGTAGAGTAGAGTAGAGCCGGTGGGAATGGGGCTAAAGAAAAATGTCTCATCATTCCAATGGCCAAAAATGTATTCATGCATTCATCTTTTAGTTCACTTTTTTTCTTATATACAGGAATATCACGAAACATTCTATTTCAAACGATAACATTTTGAATTGTTTTTGCAGCTAACTTTACATGTGCACAGAAGTCTGAGAGAAGGACTCATGGTAAATGTAAAAACATTTCTCTCTGTGTGTTGTTCTGCTCTGTCTCTAAGGAGTTATTGTTGTCAAATAAAGAAGTTGGAATTTAATAAATGTAATATAAGCTTCTGCCACAGGAGACATAAAAGTCAGATATTTTAGAGCTTATAACGATTTGTGTTTAGACCCTCTGTTTTAAATGCAAACCTTGTATTGTTTAGTACAAAGATATAAGAACAAGTATTTTACATAACCAACACATTTTTGTAAATACCATTTTGTTGGACGCCGCCTGTATCTTTATCTCTCTATGTATGTACTAACATGATGTAGAAGTCAAACTGACCTGTGTTCTTCACTCTTTGTATCGTCCTTGATTTTCAATAAAAAACTGAAAGAAGTGTTCTTCTGATCTCATCTAGTCAACAAGGAACAAATTAACATATTGTGTATTTGGACTCGGGTCATTTTGAGCTGGAATATGAACCTAGAGCTGCAGAAAACAAACATGTGAAAGCTAAATACAGGAAAAGAGGAGAGGGGAAGAGAAAGTCCCACTGAGATTTCAGGATGTTGTTATAGTAAATAATTAAATAAGACCGGGAAGGAAAGACCTGCGTAACCTGTCCTTTACAGGGTGAGAGGGTGGATCAGTCTGTCACTGAAGCTGCTCTCCACAGCAGACAGACTGTCCTGCAGGGGGCGACAGTCATAGATGTTAGTTTTACCGGGAGATTCCTCAGACACTGTTATAATTTCTGGGAGCTAATACTATAGCTCTCTGTAACCTCCAGGAATATGAGTAGTCAGTGATGGTGCATATACCATGTGTCAGTGCAGATGGTCCAGTTCAAATCCTCTTAGTGTAATGTTTACATGCGGCGGACTCACTTATGTAACGGCGTCTCCGCAGTGACACCACGGCAGCCATCTTGAACTCCTCTCATGCTGTTTATTGTTCAGCATAAAACAAGGGCAGAGAACACAATTGAACACATGGACAGAGCTGTTCTGGCCACTCTCTGGTCTTTCGCTCTGCTCTCTCTCTGGTTTCTCTTAAATCTCTCTGGTCTCTCTTTGGAAACCAGGGCCCAAAACACTATCGAACTCATTTACAAAGTTATTCCAGACCTTGTTCTGATCCTTGCTCTTCAACTCATTTGCTCAGGAAGTGCAATGAAAAACCGTTGATTTTAATGAATCACATCTTTACACAAGTCCTTAGAAAACAGTGTATGTTTACTATAACAAGCTGGTTATTAACAAGATATAATTTATGTATAAAATGAGATTAATACAAAACAAAAGTGATCTAAGAAGTTAGATACAAAAAACACACATTTGTAAACTCCAGTAGTGTTAAAAAGGCCTCTAATGATTAGGATGGTGCTGGTTGCCAGGTGTTCTGCTCAAAGACTGTATACAGATGGACAATGCTACCACAAGTTCAATGAAGCCCAATAGGAAAGTGCTCATGGTTAAGTTTGGCTCCAACTCTCTCATCTCCTATTGACTTAAATGTAAAAGTAAACTCCTTTGACTCAGTAACGGTTTCTTTCACACTGACTATTTTTGGCTTAAATCTGTGGTTTGGAGCGGGAAGATCCAGATTTCTGGTCTCTCTCTCTAGTCCCTCTCTCTGGTCTCACACTGGTTTCTCTCTGGTCTCTCTCTCTTTGGTCACTAAGGTAGTGGTGAGTTCAGGTGATTAGAAAAATGCATAAAGTGTGAGGGTTTTACAGCTGCTACTTCACTTATTGTGTGTTATTTTGAGAGCACATCACCCCTGCCCTAAAGAGACTAGTGCGTATTTAAACGTCCGTGTGTGAGTCTCAGTACAGTTGAGCCGCACTCTCCCCTCGCACTCGCTCCTCACATTTCTTGTCCTTCACGTCTCTGCACAGGGTATCGCTGCTCGCCGCCTGCAGGCTGTCGAACGTTCCCTGTCGTTCCATTTCCTGCAGGTCTCCGTGCCGCCTCCTTCTCTTCCAGAACTCTGCACACCTTTCGGAACACCCCAACCGGGCCTCCGTAGTGCAGGCATACATGCCCGCCGGCACCGCCAGCACCATGGCGCACACCAGCACAACAATGTGAATTAGCTTCTGCCTCTGCTCCATCTCGCTAACGTCCGTCCCGGTCACAAACACCACACACTGTCCCTCTCTGGGCGCATGGTTCTTCAGAGTCACACACACCTGGTATTTCGTCATCGGGAGCAGGTTCTCCACCGTGTACTGGTTGATCCCGGGCCCGATGTACGTTAGCTCCTTCTTTGGCGCGTCATATTTACCAAAATGAACCGTGTACCAAGTTTCTCCTGGGTTTTCGGTGATGGCAAACCACTCCAGCGTGATGCCGTACACGGTTTGCTTTGCAATGCGGAGGTCGATGAACGAGTGCTTGTCTGTGTTCGGTGAAGGCATGGGCACCGCGGGAGGCAGCACGCTGGAGGAGTTGCCGATGCTGACTAGGATGCTAGCCGAGGAGTTGCCAAGGAAGTTGTGGGCGGAGCAGGTGTAGAGTCCGCAGTCGGCTGGGTGCAGCGCCGGGATGAGGAGGCGAGAGATGAGCGTGTCCTCGTCCAGTTGGGTTTCGGTGGCTACGGGACAAAACAGAGAAATCAGATCAAAGTACTGCATAGTTTTGTGGGCCTGTGTCTTGGTGTGTGTTTGTGTGTTATGCTTGTGTCATGTGTGTGTGGAGTGATATAGAATCATAGACTGTATATTAGGAGTGGACTAACAGAGAGTGTCAGCCAGAAGAGGCTGATTTGAACATAAGGTAGTTAGAGCCAATTTCCTTATATGGACATTCACTCCGACGGTGCTGCTTTACGCCGTAAAAGAGGCAGATGGAGTTTCTCCCGCAAATGAAGGCATCTGATTGGTCAATCCTGATATGCATCACAACTGGATTATAAAATAAACTCTATGATCTCAGAATGGATACATTTTCTGTTGTCCTCAACCCTCTCTTCTCTCCTCGTCCCTCTTCACTCATCTCCCCACTCCTCTTCCCTCTCTTCTCTCCTCTTCACTCCTCTCCTCTTCTCTTGAAAGTTGCTGCTAAACTGCCACCTTCTCTATTGGCCTTTGTTGTGCTATAGCATTAGCATCGCCCATCTGTACACAGTCTATGCTTTCAGTTCCAGCTTCATTAACCTACTTTCACCCATGACTCATAATTTTTTACTCGTCAAACTCATTCTCACCGGTGAATCCTCTGACTGTCTTCAAACTGTACATCCACTGAACGGTCGGTTCTGGCCTGGCTTTGACCAAACACGTTAATGTAGCGTTAGCTCCCAGCGCAAAAGTCACGTTGCTATCCGGGGTGCTAGTGTTCGGCTGCAGGCACGTCTTCAGCTGGACTTGGTGGAAAAACTTGCCGAGATTCAAGGCGGGGCTTTTGCACATCAGGTATGAATTCATCAAGATTATCGGCGGGTTCACGGTGCGTATGAACTCCACAAACCCCTTCAGACGACAATCGCACGTCCAGGGATTGTTGTGCAGGGCGAGGACCACGTTGGACGCCAACCCTTCTTTGCTCCACGTCCTTTCAGTCTGCAGATACAGCGGCCAGTTCAGAAAGACATCTTTAGAGATAACGGTGAGATGGTTGAACGCCAGGTCCAGGTACGTGAGTCCGGGAAGGTTCCTCAAAGCGTGCTCTGGCAAAACGTCCAGTCGGTTGTTTTTCAGATCCAGAATGTTGAGTCTGGGCGTGTTTTGAAACGCAGTCCACGGCACGGAGGTGAGTCTGTTGCCCTGTAGCCGCAGCTCGGTGAGGTTAGCGAGGCCGTCCAGGCTCTTCGCGGTCATCAGAGTAATGTTGTTGTGGTTGAGCCAGAGAGACTCTAGAGAGGGGACGCTGAGGAAGGCTCCGGCCGTGAGTTCGGACAGATGACAATTTTCGATCCTGATTTTGGTTAAGTCTGGTGGGATAGAGTCCGGGATTTGGGTCATCGAGGCTTCCATACATTGTAAAGACCTGTGGAAAGAACAAGACACGTTTAGGACACCTACAAACCAAGTCAAAGGGTTAATAGATCAAATGGTGTAAGCTGTAAAGGTTTGTGTCCATGTGACTCCCAAAACACTATGTCTGGCCTGTTGGTGGCGCTATGACACACTGGGATAGAACAGATGCCCTCTCTTTCCTCTCTTCTTTTTCCTCTCCTGTCTCCTCTCATCTCCTCTCTCCTCCTGATCTGTATAATCCTGGTTTGTTTTCAAGTAAATCCCATAGATGTATAATAATATCCAGATATGAACCATGTAAGGAATGACCAATCAGAGGCCTTAATTTTCAAACTCCAGCTTCCTCTTCTTCATTCAGTCAAACACTATGGGTCAGTCCACTCCAGTACAGTCTATAGCTGCAACCGGTCTCTCTCTGTTCTCTCTCTCTCTCTCTGGTCGCCATATAGGAGGAACATGCCAGACCTATAGTACATGTTTTAAGTGATAAGGGAAATCGGAGCGCCTGGAGGAAACCTACGCAGACAGGGGGAGAACATGCAAACCCTCTCACGGAAAGGTGGAATCGCGTTAATAAGTTATATCTTATGAATGCATAACTCTCAGTGAGAAACATTGAGTTGGCTTTACTCAGTCGATCTATGCAAAGCAATGATTACATTATAGTTGATTATTGCAACGGATATTTGTGCACTTTCTGAACTTCTAAAGACTTCTAAATCTATTATTACTGAGTCTGACGGTTGGCACAGGCTTGAAGTTGGTTAGACAGATGCTAACCATGCTAAGTGGCTGAAGCTAAACCAAACTCTCACCTTCCCAAGTTGTCGTTTGTGCACGTACATCCTTCCAAACAGGTGTAATCGGCCGGACCAAAAAGCAGAGAAATCACCAGAAAGATCTGTGGAAGGGTAAGGCAGGCGTCCATGTTGGTGCTTGTGCTTTTGGAGCGCAGGAGATGGACCACACACACCGGTTCATTGACTAAACCTATTAAGCTAATCTCTGTGACGTAATTCTAAAGAAATCGAGTGACATTGCAGAAGAGGGGAGAGTATTATTAGCATTGCGCTAGTTAGCCGTCTGCACATTCAGGCTATTTGGCGAGTGTTGATATATAGACAGAAACAGCGAGACGATTAAAACATTTCAATGGAGGTTAATGTCTATTAACTCTTACCCATTAAAAATGGGTAAGAGTTAATCATCTGAAATGACAAAAAGCAAGAACACCAAATTTTGCCAATGCCAAGAAAACATTATGAAAATTGGTGTTAAATAGTGTTAGTCTAAATGTGGAAGAAGCAGATTTGACCATAAGCTAGCTGCAGGAAATTTCCTGATTTGGGCATTTGTTCCGCTGTGTTAGCATTGTGCCAGGACAGACATGTTGCTTAGACGGTTGCTAAGAAAAACTGGAGGCATCTGATTGGCCGATCGTTACATGGCTCATTGCTGGATCTTCAAAGACATTATCACAAGATAAACACCGGGATCCCAGAGAGCGATAAACCATGATTTTTTAAAGGCCAAAACAGTTTCTTGTCTAGAAGAGTTTTCTTTTACATGGATGTCAATAGGAGCCAGAGAGAGTTGGAGCCAAACTTCGTCCATGGGCACTTCCCTATTGGGTTTCATTGAGCTAGCAGGTTAGCATTGTCCATCCGTATACAGTCTATGTTGGCATTGTCTATCTGTATACAGTCTATGGTTTTTGTGCAGTGGGAAAAAGGAGAAAAAGCCAAGGAGAGAAGGAGAAAACTGTAAACTGGAGGTGGAGGAGGAGGAGGAGCACAGATGGCTGTAATCTGACCTCCATAATCCCACTCTGAGGCTGAAGACTGAATGTGTTGTTGTGTCCACCTGCTGTTATCTATGTCACAGAGTTATCCCAGTTCACAAAACAGCTGTAAATCCAACCAAAAAAATAAGCTTATGCGGTTTTCCCATTTCAGAAGTGTAGATACAGACTCCCCCTCCTCTAGAGAGAGAGGAGAGGGAGACCAGAGCGAGACCAGAGAGAGATCAGAGGAGACCAGAGAGAGACCAGACGAGACCAGAAATAGACCAGAGGGACTGCTCCTGCCCCACAGCGCGGTGTAGAAAGAAAAAATCCCACTGCTTTTGTACAAAAATATTTATTTTCATAAACGACATGTATATATTCTCCTCAAATAATAAATAATTTTAAAAGTCCAGTGTGTTTTAGATTTGAAAAATCTCAAACCCGGCATGTCACACTACAGTCTGTACAGTACATGATATATAATGCAGAGAATAGTCATAATAATAATAATAATCTTGTCCCTCACAAAAACATAGTATATTTCTTCTCTGCAGAATATAAGAAAGTGCAAATGTCTTCAAAACAGATTCGCAAAGCGGAGTGATGCATGACTCCACATGGACTATAGGCCACCCGCGGTACTGCAGCCTGAATCCACATGGACTATAGGCCACCCGCGGTACTGCAGCCTGAATCCACATGGACTATAGGCCACCCGCGGTACTGCAGCCTGAATCCACATGGACTATAGGCCACCCGCGGTACTGCAGCCTGAATCCACATGGACTGTTTGGAGGTGTCCCCATAGTGTGGATATAATGTACATAGAGTAGACACACAGTTGCTTTTAGCCTTTGATTTTCACACAGGCTCAACTGCAGCAGCAATTAAAGAGCGACTAAAGAGAGATAGAGGAGACCAGATAGAGAGGCTCCAGAGAGGACTGTGAGCTGTCTGTTCAGGAGGTTTTTTATGATTACAGACTCTAAAGTCAAGCTCTTAGAATAATCAATGACCCTTTTGGCTCCTGGAAAAGCCATGTTCCAGCTTCTTCACTCTGGCAGCTAATGTCCAGATTTTTTCAGCTGTTATCAGCCTGAACAAAGCACTTTAATGATCTTGTATTGAAACTGTTTTGTTGTATACTGTATATAGTTTTTTGTATCTTTTTCAGTTTTGTTTATGTACTTGATAATCTATTCCAATGTGGTTTTACTGCAAATGGCAAATAAACGGAATCTTAATCTTTGCTTGTGAAAAACCTGATGTTGTTTGCTGTTCGTGTTCTCAGCAGAAGTACTCGTTGGGCAGTCCTTCCGTTCTGGCCGTTGCCTCCGAATCCACACTGGACCTCGCTGACAGCAGCCTGTTTGACTCATCTAACCGCGTGAGAAAATCAGTTTCCAGCCCGGTTTTGGGCTTCCCGGCCGGCCCCAAAGTCTCAAAAGTCACGTATGAATCCTGCATATCTTTCGCCTCTCTCCCCAGCAGCTTCTGACACCTCTTTTTCAGCGCTCCGCAACAGACTATTAGGGTAAGCGGCACGGCTATCACGCAAGCTACAGTAATCACAACCACGTTGATCAGCTTCTGCGTCCCGCTGGCGCTCGCCGCTTCGTCCGTGGAGAAGATCACGCACTGCTCCTTCTTCGGTATGAGCCCCTTAACGCAGACGCAGGCGATGTATTTAGTCTTCGGTACGAGTCCGTCAATCGTGATGCGGTTTTTCCCAGTTCCCACGTTGATGCGTCTCATGTCGCGTTCGCCAAAGACGGCATACAGGACGCTAAATTCGGTGGTATTGGTGGCAGTTGGCGCGCGCCAGTTCAAGGACACGGTGTGGTCTGTGTCTCCGATCACTTTGACGGACCGCACCACGCGTTTCTCCGGAGCTTGTAGCGAAGAAGCGTTAGCCGCGATGTTGCTCAAAACCTCTCTATCCGGCGACGTGCTTTTGCCGTCTTGAGAAACGCTGTAACTCTCGATCTCGTACTTTCCCGTCGCCGCTGCCTTCTGGTTCAGCGGCTCAATGATGGGTTGGTTTGGCGCGCCCGTCGGAGGAGGCGGGACGTATCTGGCGATGAGTTTCTCTTGGTAGGCGGCGCGCCCGATGCCGTTTTTGCGCCCGCCACGGTTGCGCTTGGAGGTCCCGCTTGTCTCCTCGGACCGGAAGGAGTCGGTAATGACCAGGGAGATGACGGCGTCTGCAGTGCCTACGAAGTTGGTGGCTTTGCAGACGTACTTCCCCGAATCTCGGTAGGACACGGCCGGAACGCTCAGGATGGACCAGATGATGCCTTCTTTAGAGAGCTCCTGCTGAACTGGAGAAACAGGAACAATATGTGAGTGTCTTGTGATGACGTCAACTCAGAATACACAAGGTTTTTCAATTCAATGTTTTTCTGTATCGCCCTTTACCGAGCTGTAGATTCACCAACACAGATCAGAGAATCAAACAGTTCAATCACAGGAAAGACAAGTTTATACATGTCTTCAGCACTAGAACTCCCAGAGTAGTCAATTTGACGGGTTTTAGTTTTGTAAGTTTAATCACTCATGTACCTTCTTGTCTCTTCAGAACTGTGAATCTATATGGAGTTTAAATAAATGTTAAATGTGCACTTTATTTATCCCCGTAGGGAACTTTGTCCTCTGCTTTTGACCCATCTTGCAAATGCCACTAGGGTGTCTGTCCGGAGCATTGGTCGCCGTAGTACAGTGCCCGGGAACCATCTCCCATCTCTTGATCTCTCTTGTGTAACTAGTTCTACCTTTAATTAATATTCAAATGTCGCCATTTTCTGTTGTTTGGAAACTAACTTTCTATGGCACGTCTGCATTTTCATTTATTTGGTTTTAGTTCTATGACTGTTATTATTGCTTTGTGCGGACTACAGCGTAAACAGTGTTTTTGAAAAGTTCTTTCCAGTCTCTATGGTCTCTCTCTGGACTCTCTCTGGTCTTTCACTGGTCTCGCTCTCCAATCTTTCTCAAGTCTCTGGTGTCTCTCTTTCTGGTCCCTCTATCTCTGGTCTCTCTCTGGTCTCTCTCAAGTCTCTCTCAGGTCTTTCTCTGGTCTCTCTCTGGTCTCTCTCTAGGCTCTCAGGTCTTTCTCTGGTCTCTGGTGACTCTCACTAGTCTTTTTCTGGTCTCTCTCCCCCCACACTCACTGGTCCCGTTGAGCTTCTTTCCATCCGCTCTGCACCAGGTCAGCTCTGGTACAGGGACTCCCATGGTCCCACACCTTAGCAGCACATTGTTCCCCAGGGAGCTCCTCACTCGGGCCACAGCCGTGTGAACCTTGGGGCTCTGGCACCGCTGTAGCTCTGCCTCCGAGAACAGCACCCCCTCCAGGCTGTCGGGGGAAGTGCACTTCAGCCGCGTGTCCATGAGGGCCACAGAGGAACCAGGCGAGCGCTGGTACTGCACCAGGTCAAAGAGGCGGCAGTCGCACACCCACGGGTTATCATGAAGACCTGAGGAAGCATACCAAGTCTTCAATACTCTGTATACAGATTATTAGCTAACATGGACTGAATACAGTTGACAATGCTAACGTAATAATAATAATACATCGGTTTTATATAGCGCTTTTTTGGACACTCAAAGACGTTTCACATGTTATTATTCTTTCACTCCAAACACAGAGGTGATGAACTAATACTGTAGCCACAGATGCCCTGGGGCACACTGACAGAAGCGAGGCAACCAGTCTGTGCCATCAGCCCCTCCCACGAACCATTCCCACACACCAGACTCTAATGTGGGTGAAGTGGTCTCTCATGTTTCTCTCTGGTCTCTCACTGGTGTCTCTCTCTCTCTGGTCTCTCTCTCTGGTCTCTCTCTGGTCTCTCACTGGTGTCTCTCTCTCTCTGGTCTCTCTCTCTCTCTGGTCTCTCACTGGTGCCTCACTCTCTGGTCTCTCTCTGGTCTCTCACTGGTGTCTCTCTCTCTCTGGTCTCTCTCTCTGGTCTCTCTCTAGTCTCTCACTGGTGTCTCTCTCTCTGGTCTCTCTCTCTGTCTGGTCTCTCACTGGTGCCTCACTCTCTGGTCTCTCTCTGGTCTCTCACTGGTGTCTCTCTCTCTCTGGTCTCTCTCTCTGGTCTCTCTCTAGTCTCTCACTGGTGTCTCTCTCTCTCTGGTCTCTCTCTCTCTCTGGTCTCTCACTGGTGCCTCACTCTCTGGTCTCTCTCTGGTCTCTTTCTCCCGATGAACTGGAACCGGGACAGACGCGGAGGACTATAGTTTGATGCATTGTTATAGTGTTTTGAAAGTCAGGTACCGCAGCTTTAAGTGTGTCGACAGTGGAACCAAACTATTCCAAACAGTTTTCTAAAACACCACCCTGCTTCTAATTCGGCGTCAGTAAATAATCTGAACTTTTCGAGGAAGCAGTGACACAGAGAGCATATATTTAGAATAATCCTGCTCTAACTTTCACTTTAAACCATCCTCCATGACGCGCCGGGAGAGGACAGATTAACCGAGTCACAGGGACCAGGGAAATCAGTATAATTAAAGCTGGGGTACGTAACTTTCACACCACAACAACAGAACTGTGTGATAAAGTCCATGTCACTAGTTCCTGGCTTTAAAAGAGTCGCTTCTATCACTGTCAGTGTTTTGGTCTGTCAGCTGAGAAAGAGAGACCAGTGAGAGAGATCATAGAGAGAGAGACCAGTGAGAGAGATCATAGAGAGAGAGAGAGATCATAGAAAGAGAGAGACCAGTGAGAGAGATCATAGAGAGAGAGACCAGTGAGAGAGATCATAGAGAGAGAGATCATAGAGAGAGAAAGACCAGTGAGAGAGATCATAGAGAGAGAGACCAGAGGGAATACAAGACAGAGGGTCCAGAGTCTATAACTTGTTTTCATATGTTTCTTTGTGTCACATCTTTAGATCTGCTTTTTCAGACTGAAAAGTTACAAAGAGAGGACCACCCTCTCTCAGCCAATCAGCTGTCAGCCCAAAGAGTCAAATAATGACTCACGATCTTACGTACACAAAATGAAATGAAATGAAAAAAAAAAAAAAAGTTCGGGCATTAACTCCTCTTACACAAACACTTAAATGTTCCTCATCAGTCACAGACCTGGAGTTGTGTTTAGCTCCATCCACGCTAATACAAGGAAGCTCTGGCACCAAACAACACAGACAAGTTCCCCCACCCCTCCTCTCCAAATGCTCTTTTTAAAAATAATTTATGCATATAAAAGCATATTTTGGAAATTTCAACATCAAAATACATTATTTTTAAAACTGGGGTACGTATCTTTCAAATCACAAAAATGCCATGTCACTCATCTCTCTGGTCTCCCTCTGATCTCTGTTCCCTCTTTCTGGTCTCTCATTAAGTTTTTACTTCAAATGGCAAATAAAGTGAATCTAAATCTGAAATAATGTGACATCATCCGCCATCATTCCCACAGAATTCCCAGGTCCTTACCCAGAATCCTCTTGGACTCGGACTCCGCCCCCGGCCTCGCGCCCAGCCACATGGCCAGCACATTCCCAGGCAGCGTTCCCAGTTTGTTCCCGGACAAATCCAAGTATGTGAGGTTCCGGATGTGCGCCGCAGCCTCGGAGGGCACGGAGGAAATCCTGTTGTTGTGCAGGTCCAGCAGCCTCAGTTCGGGCATGTGCTCCAGCGACTCCCAGGGGAACCCGGCCAGCAGGTTTCCCTCCAGGCGTAGCTCGATGAGGTTCTCGAGGCCGCGGAAGCTTCCAGAGGTCAGGGAGGAGATGGAATTGAAGGACATCCAGAGAAAGGCCAGCTGCTTCAGGTCGCGGAGGCGGTCGGGAGGCAGGCGGGAGATCGACGTCTTCTCCAACCTCAGCTTGGACGTGTCCGCGGGGAAGTTGGAAGGAACTTGGCTGAGGTCTGGGTCGTTACAGAGGACGCTCCTACAGAGAGAGAGAGAGAGAGAGACCAGAGACAAGAGAGAGAATGTTAGATCAAAGCAAGCAATGAAACTCGGATATCATCATGGAGATGATGATGGGAGCGCCCTCTCAGGTTTCCCTCTGGTCTCTCTCTGCTCTCCGTCTGATTTCTCTGCTCTCTTGGTGTTCTCTCTCTGGTCTCTCTCGAGTCTAACTCTGGTCTTTCTGGTCTATCTCTGTTCTCTTTCTGGTCCGCCTCTCTCTGGTCTCTCTCTGGTTTCTCTTTCTGGTCTCTCTCATTCCTCTCAGATTATATCAAAGTAATCAATGCAACTCTAACCGCAATGATGTGGGATCACAGTTAATTACAAGTGACACACACACACATACAGAGAGACACACACACAGACAATTAGACAGACACACACACACACACAGAAAGAGACACACACACAGACAATTAGACAGACACACACACACACACAGAGAGAGACACACACACAGACAATTAGACAGACACACACACACACACACACACAGAGAGACACACACACAGACAATTAGACAGACACACACACACACAGAAACTAAACCAGGACTAAAGCAGGACTGAATCAGGACTGAAACTAGACTAAACTTGAGAAGAGAAGACAGATACAGAGAGGAAAACACAAAACAGTGCTTCTTCTGCGCATAGTAACAATATTAGTAATAATAATAATAGTACAAGTTATAATAGTAACGATAACAACCATGTTTATTTATGTTGCACCTTTCAGTTACAAAGTTCTACACACAATCCTAAAAAACAGACTCAGATCGAGCCAAATGCAGCAGTAAAGAACAAAAAACTAGACCTGTAGTGTGTGTGAAACCATCAAAAACAAGAATAAAAGGTCATACAACTGATTAAAAATGCGTTATTATAAAAATGTGTGTTTTTGAGAGTTCTGAATGATGTAAAAGGCGTGTGTAGAGACGGGAGCGCACCTGCAAAGAAGATTACAGTCCAGATAATCCGCGGCTATCTGTAAGGCTAAGCACGCTCTACTGGGAAGCTCTATACTCAGGCCAAATAACACATCTCTAAAGTTATGTTAATGTCACAATAACGAGTAGATCTTGCAAAAACACAGACCTGGCTTTGGATCCGTCGCTCAGTTTGTGGTAGAAGCAGCTGCATTGAAGCGGGCAAGCAGCGGTGCACATAGTTCCCAAGGCCAGGCTCAAGCCAAGGGCCAGAAAGAAAGGCATCTCTCCTGGTTTTGAGACTAAAAAAATAAAGCGCTAGTCTAAAAGCTACGGAGCGCCGTTGGCTAACGGGACGTCCTGCTCATGATGGGAGCTCCATGTGCAGATGCAACTGACAGAAGGGGATTAGAACGAGCCGCAGGAGAGAGACAGGAGGGGCTGCGGGATTGGACCAAACTCTATCTGCTCTCTCTCTGCTGCATCTCTCTCTATCTCTGGTCTTTCTCTGGTCTCTCTCTCTTGTTTCTCTCTCTGGTCCTTCTCTGGTTTCTCTCTCTGGTCCTTCTGTGGTATATCTTTCCGGTCTTTCATTCTAGTCTCTCTCTTGTCTCGTTCTGATTTCTCTCTTTGCTTGTCTCTTTCTGGTCTCTCTCTCTCTAGTCTCTAGTTTCGCTCTGGTCTCTCTCACTATTCTGATGTTACACACGGTCAGGCCACTCCTCATATACGCTCATTATCAGTAGTAATATTAGGAGTAGCAGTTGTAGTAGCAGCCTGCATTTGTACAGTATTAGTAGTAGTAGCAGTAGGATCAGTAGTACTAACTGTAGAAGTATCAGCAGTAGTAATACTTGTAGTAGTATTAGTAATAGTAGAAGTAAGAGTATTACAGTAGTAATAGCAGTAGTATCAGTAGGAGTAATACTAGTAGTAGCAGTAGTAGTAGTAGCAGTACAGCAGCAATAAATATTATCTTCAGTGTTTATTGTCAGATTGATTCTAACCAAAATATAATTTAAAAAAACCCCTGTTTTGTCTGTTTAATTAAGATTAAAGCTTAAATAAAGCAAAGAAATGTTTTCAAATCCAGACTGCAGTTAGGACCAGAGGAGCAGAGTCCAACTAATGTCCGACAGGCGTCAAGACCAGAGGAGCAGAGTTTGAGCCTGATTCATTCAAGCATGGATTGAACAGCGGCAGAATGTTCTCAGTGAAACCACAGTCTGTGAAAGAGTAAATATGAGACTGTTTGTCCACATTGTAGAAGGAAACCAGACCTGCTTCATAATCCACAAACACTCCCACCTTCTCTGGAGGAGACTGCACTGGCAAAGCTACAGCAGGGACTTCTGATGTTATGTACCGACCATTACCGTTCATGTGGAGATACCAGAATCCTGTCTCAACAGTTCCTGTCTTAGTCTGTCTGTCCACTGACTCTCTGGCCACTCCTAAAGTCCAGAATCTCTTTCTTTTGACCTGAACCTCAAAATAAAACTTTCCAGATGAGAACTTCTGTTTCCCTAAAACAAACCTATACTTAAATCTCTCAGGGTTGTTTGGGAGGTTCCTTTGGTCAGAGTGATAAACCTGTTTGAGATCTTTAGACAGAACTAAATGTGTATTTGCAGTGTTGGGATCTAGAGACAGCTCCACTCCAAACCCTTGAACTGTTTTAAAGTCACTAAAAAAAATGTCTATCTGTGTCCTAAGTCTGCTCCTCAGCTCAGACACTGCCTGACCGGTTCTCCCCATGTACCGTGGGGTCCTAAGGATCTTCTGCCTCCAGGCGCTGAGCTGTGGAGCAGGTTTGATTGTAGTGAAGGTTTGGACAAAGTGCAGGTGGTCTTCAGAGCTCCACAGTTTCTCCATCTCAGCCCCTCTCTGCTCCAGCTCACAGATCTCTGTCTGGATCTGCTCTATCAGCTGAGAGGCCTCCTCCTCAATCTGCTGCTGCTTTTCTACAATGCTCTGTTTGAAGCTGTCTGCACTTTGTTGAACACACTCCATCAAAGCGGTGAAGACTCTAAGACCTTCTCGTATTTCTGTGTCTGCGTTTCTCTGACTCCGCTCCACTGAGCGCTGGATCTCCTGGACTTTCACATCTCTGTCTTTGATCTGTTGCTTCAGGGTGGCCTGCTGCTCCTCTCCCTGCTCCTTCAGAGAGACTGTCTGATGGTTTCTGTGATCTTCAGTGATGCACTTCAGACAAACCAACAGTGAGTGGTCTCTACAGAAGATCTCCAGGGGCAGCTGGTGCTCAGGGCAGATGCGCTCCTCCAGGTTGGGCAGAGGGTGGAGCAGCTGGTGCCTCTTCAGACGGGGGTTTGTGAGGTGTGGCTGCAGGTGGCTCTCACAGTACGACAGCAGACACAGCAGGCAGGACTTCAGGGCTCTGAGCCTGGGCTCTGGACACAGGTCACAGAGCACCTCTCCTGGAGCAGTGGTCTGAGGCTCCATCACCAGGTCTTCACCTTGAGGCTTACTCCTGAGCAGAGAGACCATCTCTGACATAAAGATGTTGACCTTCAGCTGTGGTCTTGGTCTGAAGTTCTGTAAACAGACTGGACAGCTGCAGTGGACACTGTTGTCCCAGTGTTTGTTGATGCAGATGCAGCAGAAGCTGTGTCCACACGATGTTGTGACTGGATCAGTGAAGACCTCCAGACAGATGCAGCAGAGGAACTGCTCCTCACAGAGAGAAGAGCTCACAGCCGCCATCGCTGCAAAGACACAAGACGACAGCTTTAGAGTCAGACAGGACCCTCTCTGTTCAAACAACTGCTCCTCATTGGCTCTTTGGTTCAACATCATGACTACCCATGAATTTGACTCCAGATTCCTGCCCATGGAGCCTCTAATTGTTATGGAGCCTGGTCTCTCTCTGGTCTCTCTCTTGTTTCTCTCTCTGGTCTCCCTCTCTGGTCTCCATAGGCTCCAAAGGCACGTTGCAATGGTCAAATGTATTTGCAGGTTATTTAGTAAGTAGTAATAATAATCTTTATTTATATACCACCTTTTCACTGCAGATCAGAGTCTCAAAGCGGTTTACAATTGTTATTTTTGGGCATTTGTCTCTCACTCCACACAGAGATAGGAGCAGGGGCGCCAGTACAGAAGGCGCACCCCACTCCACTCAGATTCGAACCCAGAATCTTCTTGCTGAGAGGCGAGAGTGCTATTTACTCAACACTGAGCTACGTCTTCTTACAGAAGACATAGCGCCCCCAGTGGACATTAACACCAAGACATATTTGGCTTCCATGGACATATAGACAATTCTCAGATGGAAAAAGAAATTCACTGAGACACAGTTCAAAGTGACCTCATCAAGTTTCACTAAATCAAAGTGTTTTTTTTTTACGTGTCTCTGGTCTCTCTCTGTGGTCTCCCTGGTCTCTCTCAACTAGTCCTACTCTCCAGGCCTCACACACACTCACCTTTAAACAGAGGTTTTCTGAATACAGTCTTCAGTCTAGTTCCTTCACGGCAGATCTCTCTGGTCTCTCTCTCTGTTCTTCCTGGTTCATTTCATGGCAGAGGACACTCCCTGTTCAAACTGCAACTACAAAGTCTCACACTGTGTGTGTGCGTGTGTTACATATGTGCAAGTACAAGTTTCCGAGAAATCACATGACTGTGTGATGACATCACTATGACATCACACTTTGAAACCAAAGTCGATCGGTTTTGGTGAATTCTCAGGTAAATGCGGTTCTTTCCAATCACATGTGTTTGCAGCTCCCTCTGCTGGCAGCTCAGGGGGTCACAGGTTAAAAGCATGTTTACCTTCACTCTTGTCTCCATATACAGTATTTGAACACATATCAGGATCACATTCTGAAACCGTCTCATTATCATTTTAAAATTCTAGACTGTGATATTTCTACTTTAAAACATCAAAGTTACTTCTTTCATTGGCTGTTCCCACAACACAACATGAGAGAACAACTGTGTGAGTTGAAGAAGATGACAAAGTTTGGGATCGTGTTTTTTATTCAGACACAAGAAATGTTTAATTGCCGAGCACAAACAAAGATGTTACAGAATGTGATATTATACAGCATGAATAATGGAGTCCTCCAATCAGCTATCGCCACAGTGCCACTAGCTTGGCCAGAAAACCAGAACATGCAGTGGAAAAGTACTGCCTTATGAATATTGTTAGAATTATGAGTTAGAACTTTAACCACAGTTGCTTCAAAGTGTCATGAAATCATTAAAAAGTGTCCTTCTCTCTCTCTCTCTTTGTGTGTGTGTTGTCTCTACCTCTCTTTATGTGTGTGTCTCCCTCTCTGTCTCTCTTTGTGGGTGTGTAAACCCCAGTTACTTAATGTAACTAAGGTTCTATGAATATGTTGCGAAGCCCTTTAGGCTTCGCTAATGCATATCTCTCGGAAGCATCGCTTCCCGCCCTGAGAAGATCAAACGATCCACCCTCCAATCACCTTCATGTCCTGGCGTAGGCCAGTCCCCTATAAATAGGGCCATGCACCACAGCTCTTCTCCTTTCGAACTCAGCCGAATAAGAGAGGGCAGGCCTGCTGGGCTCGAAGCTAAAGGGCTTCGCAACATATTCATAGAACCTTAGTTACATTAAGTAACTGGGGTTTCTATTTCATATGTTGCTTCGCCCTTTAGGCTTCGCTAATGCATAACATAGCGAAGCCCAGACCGATGTACTCCCAGCAGGCATGAACTCCGGTGATTGGAGCAAACTCGTGACCCACGTGCTCATACCGCAACCAAGCGGTAGAGACGGAGGTCCTACGAGCCATAGAGAAAGGGATGCTGGGCCACCTCTCCCAAGAGTGCCCACGCATTCTCCAACCTGCAAAGCAGGAAAGAAATCAGAACAAACCTGGGCAGGCAGCCTCTTCCAAGAGCGCCTGATCCCCAGGAGTGTAAAGCAGACTGCAGAAGGGCCTAGGCCGCCTCTCCCAAGAGCGCCTATCCTTACTGCAGAGGTGTCCTGGCCGCCTCTCCCAAGAGCGCCAACACCTCTCCACACAACCCCCCCCCTGCAGACCAGTTCTCACCGAGGTCTGTCGAAGGAGGAACTAGGGCCGCCCTGCACTCACTCAGGCCACCTCCAGTAGGTAAAACTGCACAAAAGTCGAGGAGGAGGACCAGGACGCCGCTCTGCAGATCTCCTCCACCGAAGTGCCATGTCCATCATGCCCTCCCGATCGGGGAGGGACAAACAAGACGGCTGCACGGAAAAGGCGCACAGATCCCCAGACCTCTTGGCCGAAGCCCACGCCCACAACAATGCCGTTTTGTAGGACAATGAGGCAATGGTCGCATTGTCCAGGGGTTCAAATGGAGGCCCTGAAAGGCCAGCCAAGACCACCTGAAGGTCCCAAGACGGAGCCGACCGCCGGAGGGGAGGCCTGATCCTGCGGGCCCCTCGTAGGAACCGCGCAGAGTGGCTACCAAACCCCTTCGTGCCCAGTGGTAATGGCCGCCGCGAACACACCCAGAGTGGCGGCCGCCCTTCCATTTCTCCAGCAAGAACTGGAGAAAAGCCAAGACCTCCTGGATGGAGGGATGTTGGACCCCACTAGGTGGGGTCCAACATCTGTCCACGCACCAAGAGGCGAAGAGTTTCCAGCAAACCTCATACGCTTTGGTGGTGGATGTAGCCCTCCCACCCTGAATAGTAGCGACCACTGAGGGAGGGAGACCAAGGCTCAACATGAGCCTGCTTCCCAGGACAGGGCGTGAGTAAAGGGCTCCCCCTGCCTGTCTCAGAGCATCAGGACGGTCCGGAACGGGCCAAGGCGGACTGAGCGCCATGCTCACCAGGTCCGGATAGCACCTGGCTCCCGGGCTGTCCGGCGCCACCACCAGGATGGAGACTCCTCCGTCCTCACCCTGTAAAGCAGGGCTGCCAAGAGCCGGCGAGGCGGGAAGGCGTAGAGGAGACCGTTGGGCCACGACCGGTGCGCCATGGCGTCCACCCCGAGAGGGGGCTCGTTGCTGGACCTGAGCGAGAACCAGAGTGGGCACTGTGCGTTCTCTGCATTTGGGAAAAAGTTGGCCACCGGTGTCCCGAACCGGAGCCAGACCTCTGCCACGACCGCTGGGGCGAGACCCCACTCGTCCCGCAAGGCCTCGCCCCTGGACATCCTGTCGGCGGCCACGTTACGCTCGCCTGGGATATGACGGGCCCTCAGAGAGGCTAGGTGAATGTCCGCCCACAGAAGAACCTCCACTGCCAGCCTGTGAAGGGCGGGGGACCTGGTCCCCCCATGCCTGTTCAGATATGCTGCCACAGTGGTGTTGTCCGTCCGAACAATCACCTGTTGGCCCTCCAGTCTGGTCATGAAATGGGCCAGCACCAACCGCATCGCCTCCAACTCCAGGAGGTTGAAGTGCCCCAAGGGGGAGGACCAAACGCCTCCTGTCGAGTGGTGGCCGAGCACGCCTCCCCAACCACTCATTGAGGCGTCCGTGAAGACCTTGATGTGGTGGTCCACAACACCCATTTGAACTCCCTCCTGGAGTCGACCTGGGGACAGCCAGAAGGCGACGTCGTTCTGAGCCCTCAACGACAGTCGCTCCCTCCGTGATAAGCCCCTAAGGGTGGGAGAACCACCTCTGGAGATATCGCATGTGCAGCAACCCCAGTCTCACCACTGGATGGGCCGCTGCCATCATGCCCAAGAGAGACTGGATCTGCCGCGGTTGCACCCGAGGTTCACCCAGAACGATCCGGCCCAGGTTCTGAACCGTATGTATACAACATCAGGGAGCGCAGGTGTCTGACCTGACGAAGAGATGCCGGATGGCTTGGTTGGCTGCAATAAGAAGAAAGGACCTTACTTTCGATCTCACCCCCCAGTCGATGAGAGTGTGTTCTCTGCATTTTCACTCGGGTACGTCCTAAAATGTCTTCATGTTGTTTTTTTAAAGTTAAGAAGTGTAGGTTACCTAGCTGTTAATGTTGCAAACACTGAAGTGCATCTTAAGTTAGCTGCCTAGCTAACTATCTAACTATCTAATGACACACGTCATTATGGTCAAGAAATGTGTGCTAAATGCAATGTAATTACAGCACACAAAAACGCATGTTATGAAAACTTACCTTTGCAAGTACAACGGTGTTTTCACCGCCTGGAGGCTTGTAGATGGCCATGTCCTGCACCCAACCACAGCAGAAAGCCTCGTAACTCTCCAGTGACTTGTGACTTCTAAACTCCTGCATTGTGTAATAACTAACACCGAAAACAAGGTAATTGACTATATCCATGTACGTGCACGGAGGCAAAAAGTCTAGGTCTTTTTGCCACTCCGCTGCAGGAAGCTCGTATGGGTCTAGCTTACCTGTTGTATGTCTGAGAGCTTCTCCAAATAACGTTGTTTTGCCGTGGGTAGAAGCTTTTCCCTGTACGGTCCATTTCCTTTCGCCTTCACTTTCTCCATTAACTGTCTTGCTAGTGTTGTAATTGTAGATGTATCTACTGCCGAACTAATAAACGTGCTCAATTTAAAGACCTCTGGAGCGTTAGCGTTAGTGGCGTTGCCCCTGGCAACCGATGGAGGATCCTATCAACATGGCCGACCGGATTAGACCCCGCCCAAATTATCACGTGACCCCTCATTCTCAATCCCCTCGCGGCTGATATAGTGAAGCAGAGGCACACCCTGAGCGAGCCACCATGGGCACCGAGAGGGATGTTAATAAGCAACCATCTGTGGTGCAGTAGTATTATGCCTGTCCAGCGTGAGCAGAACGTAGCACCCCATGAGCGAGCCACCAAGGGCACCACTCCAGGGATGAAGCGAGCAAAGTGATGTGTTAAGCTAGGACAACCATCTGTGGTGTATTAGCTATACGTCTGTTCAGCGTGGATAGAGGGTAGCACACCATGAGCGATGCCACCAAGGGCACCACTCTATACGGCATAAATAATCCACGGCGAGACAAGCCACACATCTGGGGCTTTCTCCCGCGGCACGACGCCAGCCCAGGCAGAAGACGCTGGACTCGTGGCGGACAGTCTGGGAGAGTGCCGCTGGGCACAAGTCGCAGATCCGCAGCCTGACACCGGAGGGTGGCAAGTTCTCAGGCGCGGGGATCTTGCTTGAAGACATCCTAGCTAATGAATCGAAGCTTCTCTTAGGCAAGCTGAGAGAGAAAGGAGAAGAGCTGTGGTGCATGGCCCTATTTATAGGGGACTGGCCTACGCCAGGACGTGAAGGTGATTGGAGGGTGGATCGTTTGATCTTCTCAGGGCGGGAAGCGATGCTTCCGAGAGATATGCATTAGCGAAGCCTAAAGGGCGAAGCAACATATGAAATAGAACTCTGTCATTCACTCTTGCACACCTGCACACGACCAACTGTGTGTTTGTGTGTCTATCTCTCTCTTTCTGTGTGTGTGTTTCTCTTTCTGTGTGTGTCTCTCTCTTTGTGTCTGTGTGTTTCTCTCTCTTTCTGTGTGTGTGTGTGTGTGTAACCTCTTTCTGCACACAACACAAGAGAATAACTTTCGCAAAATAAAAGTCCTGCCACAATCTGATAATCCACTGAGCCGCAGCTAAAGCTAACCGGCTCAAGCGTTGGCTAACTTCGCTCCGGAGCAGAGGAAGAAAGTTCAAAGTCTCAGCTCTGTCATCACTGTGGCTATAGTCTCTTTCTGGTCTCTTTATAGTTTCTCTCTAGTCGTTCTCAGGTTTCTCACCGGTCTCTAGCTGGTCTTATTTTGGTCTCTCTCTCTGTAGTTTCTCTCTCTAGTCTTTCTTTGGTCTCTTTGTAGTCTCTCTCTCTCTCTCTCTCTCTGGTCTTTCTTTGGTCTCTCTCTGTAGTCTCTCTCTCTCTCTGGTCTTTCTTTGGTCTCTCTCTGTAGTCTCTCTCTCTCTCTGGTCTTTCTTTGGTCTCTCTCTGTAGTCTCTCTCTCTCTCTGGTCTTTCTTTGGTCTCTTTGTAGTCTCTCTCTCTCTCTCTCTCTCTCTGGTCTTTCTTTGGTCTCTCTTTGTAGTCTCTCTCTCTCTGGTCTTTCTTTGGTCTCTCTCTAGTCTTTCTCAGATTTCTCATTGGTCTATCTCTGGTCTCTCTCTCTGGTCCTGAACTGGTCCAGGTCCAGTTTTTTCCACCAGTGAAAAGCCAGTGATAGTTACCATAGCAACACACTGTTTACTGTCAGCAGTATAGTATAGTATCAGCGTTTGAACAATCTGCTTTTGCTGTTTTTCAGTTACAGTGACCCATTTTAGCCCCTAAATCCGGTGAAAAACCAAAAAAATGTGGGGAGTATCTCAGAACTCCTTTGGTTTGAATGAGAGCAGTCGAAATGACGGGTGTGGGAGGTTTCAGGTTCTCCACACTGGACCTTTGTGTGCTTACAACAGCAGCAGATTACAGTGTGTGCCAACAGCCGCTGACCTTATGTAACCGCGATTATTCCCACAACACCATTTTCCATCTGCAAAGCCCTTGTGTTCGGCATTTATCGACAAAATTAAGCTTTTAAACCGTGTCTGTGGCGTTCTTATGCTGTTTCCTCAGAGGACAGTGGCCGTGGAACCAGGATGAACTCACAGAGACAGTATGGAGAGCGCCCCCAGTGGCAGAACACAGTAATTACAATCACACTTTGGTAATGACTTTGACCTGGATCTGCTCTGACTCTCACAGAGCAGACCTATCGACAGAGAAAGAGACATGTGAGAGAGACGAGTGAGACCAGAGAAAGCAGAGAGAGAGACCAGAGAGACCTCTTCAGTCCAAACAAATATTACATCACAAGCGTTAGGGCATGGGTCAAATCCTCTCTGCTGGAATGTCTGAAGAACTAAGAGGTGTGTGTGTGTGTGTGTGTGTCTATCATTAGAATGACTCTCTGAGGACAAAGTGCACACAAGGACCTTTGTCTTCTACACAGTGGCCCATCTGATTGGTCAATTCTCACTAATTGGCTCATATCTGGATTTACAAAAACGATATCACAATATAAACACCAGGATCAAACAGAGCGATAAACCACAGATTTAAGCCCAGAATTATGAGTGTGAAACAATCGGTTACAGAGTTAGGAGTTTACTTTTACATGTAAGTCAATGGGAGCCAGAGAGAGGAGACAAACTTTATCTATGAGCACGTCCCTTTTAGGGTTGGGGTGAAGGGTTATGTTTATCATGTGTCTGTGTGTAAACAGATCTATGCTCAGGCAGAGATAGAAACAGACCACTGCTGTTTTTCTGCTATTATCAGCGACTAAAAAGTGTTAGCATCATGTGACTTGAAGAAAATGTGTTTTTTGTGTAAATACTTGACGATACTGTTTAGGCCGAAGAAGAAGAATGAGGCGAATGTGGCTCGACTTTATTCACAAAATCTGACTCTGAAATCCGCAAAGAATCTCTGTTTTGGCAAGCGTATGTTATTTCCACAATAACATACGCTAACGAGGAGAATAGATCTGTAAGTGCACTGCTACAAACTCGCCGTATACAACTGTAAATAAATAATTACGGTTTGATTCTGTATCGAGGACATGGGGCCCTATGTGACTGCCATATTTGGAAAAGGTTTATTCTCAGGACGGAAATGACTGTGTACCGTGAAAGACAGTTAGCTTTCACGCTGGCTTGTTTACCTCCTGGTTAGCATCAGCCTACGCTAAGTTTTGGGTGTTGTTTGGTGTTTAACTCAAATTATTATCACACATGTGCTTAGGAAGAGCGAAATATGGGACCTTTCAAATGGGACCATTAGCGGCCCAAATGGCTCGAGGGCCGAGTGTTTTTGAGATCACTGAGCAACACCATCCCCCACAATCCTTTGTGCCTTTCCTTGCTCATGTCTCTTTAAATAAACTTCTTGCAAACGCTTCACTTTCTTTACATTCATCATCACTGTCTCCCTCTGAGAGAAAGACCAGAGAGAGAGAGACGAGAGAGAGACCAGAGAGAGACCAGAGCGAGAGACCAGTGATAGACCAGAGATATACCAGGAAGAGAGACCAGGGAGACTTCCATCCCCGCTGTCTCCCTCTGTAGCGCGGCCGAGTTAAGACATTCCTACGGAGATTGCGACAGGGTTTTAGCGCAGATTAGCGAATTCACGTGAAAGAGCCTTTATAGCGCGGTGCAGCGGTGCTCCTGGCTGGGGCTCTGCGGAGGTGCTGTACCCGCGTTTGGAGCTCTTTTCTCGGGTCTCGCTCTCGCCATGGCCGCGTACACGTTACCGGAGGGGTTCGCGGAGTTTGACATGTTTTTGTTCGGTACCGCGCTGCTGGTGGGAGGTGAGTGCTTTTAAAGAGACAGGAGCCTCATTATTCACTTTAACACTAGGAGCAGTCAGTTTAACGGCTTTTAGTTTTGCTCATAACTTTGTGACTTTTTTTCTGTAGTTTATTTCTACGTGATTATTTTTTATGAAATGTTTTTTACTTTTAAATTGTGAGTGGTTCTACTTTTAACTCATATAAATCCATAGAATAGCAAGTGCTAGTTACCATGGCAACACACTCTTTACTGTCCGTTAGCATTAGCCTTTTATTTCTGTAATTCAGTCACAGTTATAAAAACCTGTTTTAACACTTGTTTAAAGTGGGAAAACTCGGGTTTACCTTTAAAAAAGAGTAAATTACTTTCTTTTCTTTAATCTGGTGAAAAACTAAACATTCTTTGGGAGAATTTCTCAGAATTATTTGGTTTGAATAATACACTGATGAGGCGACAGTGGCTCAGTTTGTAGAGCATTGGCCTTTGAGCCTGAAGGTCGTGGGTTCGAGCCCACCGTAAGACCTACTTCACGACTCCCACTGATGTCTGCTGTCGTTGTGTCCTTGGGCAAGACACTCCTACTTTGCCTGAAGCTCCCGATGAAAGATCTCTGCTCCTGTGGACTCACCACCTGCAGGAGGATCAGTGAGCTCTGACTGCCACCCCCCAACCCAGAGATGGATTGAGGGGAAGGAAATAGATGGATGGACGTTTTTGTTTTGGAATTACAATCGAGGGGTGTCTCTTTTTGATCTTCCTAAAATGGTGATTTTTTGTTTTCATTGTTTTTAACTTTAACTTTTAAAATTTGTGGAATCATATAATAATCTTTATAAGGTTGACCTTGGCAGGTGTATGTGTGTGTGTTGGTGTAGTAAACTGTTGTGTTGCCGTGGCAGGAGTGGTGGGCTTCATCCTCAACACCATCTCGGTCTTGTCCTTCGTGTCGGTGAAGCAGATGTGGACGCCCAGTAACTTCTTTGTGTTTAACTTGGCTCTGGCTGATCTTAGTCTGAACATCAATGGCCTCACAGCGGCCTACGCCTCCTACATCAGGTCAGACTCACTGTTAAAGCTGGGGGACGTAAATTTAGGACCAGGAAATATAAGTTATGTAATATAATCCATGTCACTAGTTTGTTTCTATCACTAGTTTTAATATATTTCTGGTCTCTGTTACATTTTATATCTGCTTTTTAGACAGAGAGGTGACAACAAGAGAGACCAGAAAGAGGCTAGAGAGAGACAAGAGAGAGGCCAGAGACAATATATATATATATATATATATATATATATATATATATATATATATATATATATATATATATAATGTGTAAAAAAAAATTGTCCACTCACCTTTGGCCCTCCGCGGGCGGTTATCCCTCTCTAAGCTCGGGTCCTCTACCAGAGGCCTGGGAGCTTGAGGGTTCTGCGCAGTATCTTTTATATATATATATATATATATATATATATATATATATATATATATATATATATATATATATATATATATATATATATATATATATATATATATATATATATATATATATATATGTGTGTATATATATATCTATATATATATGTGTGCTATATAAATGAAGAGTGTTTCTGTGGTGTTCAGGTACTGGCCGTTCGGAGCAGAAGGATGCAGGATGCACGGGTTCCAGGGGATGATCTCAGTCCTCGCCTCCATCAGCTTCATGGCGGCCATCGCCTGGGACCGCTACCACGTCTACTGCACACGTCAGTACACACACCTATACTACATTTCTATACCATACTATATGATACTAAATACTAACTATACTATTCTACTATACTATATACTACACTACTATACTATATACTATCCTGCCATACTATATACTATACAACTATACTATACTACCATACTAAATACTATACTATATACTGCACTACTGTACTAGAGAGAGAGACTAGAGAGAGAGACCAGAGAGAGAAACCAGAGAGAGACCAGAGACCTCTGTCTGAAGTCCTTTTTTCTGACCAACATCATGTTTTTTAATATTGTCACTACTTCCAGACTTCTTTATGAGAAAATAATGAGACCATAGTTGACAAGTGCAGAGAGAGAGGTTGTCAGCTGGTTGTCAGCGTAGAGGGAGACCATGTGTGTGATTGCTGGTTGTCAGGGTAGAGAGAGAGAGACCATGTGTGTGATTGCTGGTGTGTGTGTCTCAGGGCAGAAGCTGTTCTGGAGCACCACGGTGACCATGTGTGCTCTGGTGTGGATCCTGTCGGTGGCCTGGGCCGCGGTGCCTCTGTTTGGATGGGGAGTGTACGACTTTGAACCAATGAAGACCTGCTGTACCCTGGACTACAGCAAGGGGGACCGGTGAGCACTGCTCCTACAGCTGATGCTACTACTACTACTGATGCTACTACTGCTACTGATGATGCTCCTACTGCTACTACTGCTACTGCTGCTACTACTGATGCTACTACTACTACTACTGATGCTACTGCTGCTACTGCTACTGCTGCTGCTGCTGCTACTGCTGCTGCTGCTACTACTACTACTACTACTTCTGCTGCTACTGCTACTGCTACTACTGCTACTAGGCAAGGCAAGGCAAGTTTATTTGTATAGCACAATTTATACACAAGGCAACTCAAAGTGCTGAACAAGATAGCATTATAATCATAAATAATCACAGAACATTAAAAAGAAAGATAAAAGTATAAAATCCCTCAGTTGTATGCACAGCTAAACAGAACTGTTTTTAACCTGGTTTTAAACATTGTCAGAGAGGAGGCCTGTCTCACATCTTCAGGAAGATTGTTCCAGATTTTAGCAGCATGAATCTGAAAAGCAGCCTCCCCATGTATAGTTCTGACTCTGGGCACTAACAGGAGTCCAGTCCCTGTGCTCTTCAGAGTCCGGCCTGGTTCGTATGGTACTAACATGTCACTAATATATTTTGGTGCGAGGCCATGGAGAGACTTGTACACAAGCAGAGCTGTTTTAAAGTCTATTCTCTGAGCCACAGGAAGCCAGTGCAGAGACCTGAGGACTGGACTAATGTGGTCGTACTCCCTGGTTCTAGTCAGGACTCGAGCTGCTGAGTAGTACTACTCCTGCTACTACTACTTCTACTACTACTATTACTACTACCACTGATACTACTTCTTCTGCTCCTGCTACTGCTGCTGCTACAGCTGCTGCTACTACTACTTCTACTTCTACTACTACTACTACTACTACTACTACTGATACTACTTCTTCTGCTCCTGCTGAATCTCTTTCTGCTGTTGTGAGCAGAGACTACATCACGTACATGCTGAGTCTGGTGGTGCTGTACCTGGCCTTCCCCTCAGTCACCATGCTCTCCTGCTACGACTCCATCTTCAAGTACTTCAAGAAGATCCACAACCAGAAGGTACCGGAACAATGAGGGGTTCAAGCAAGGCTGCCCAGGAACGTACAGGAACTGGAGGCAAGAAGAATGGGCAGCTTTACTATCAGACTAGAGAGAGAGCAGAGAGAGAGACAGACCAGTGCGAGAGACCATAGAGAGATCGGAGAGAGAAACCAGAGAGAGACCAGAGAGACGAGAGTTAAAGTCAGAGAGAGAGAACACAGAGAAAGACAGAGCAGAGGGAAAGACAGCAGAGAGAGATTAGAAAGAGACCAGAAAGAGAGAGCAACCAGATAGAAGGCCAGAGAGAGAGAGAGAATACAGAGAAAGAGAGAGACCAGAGAGGTAGAAAACGATTGGTTTGTATTGTGTGTAAATGGTGTTTGTTGTGAGTCCAGTGGGATTAACCCTGATGCCTTCCCACAGTTCAACACGTCGCTGCCTCTGCAGACCATGCTGCTCTGCTGGGGGCCGTACGTCCTCATGTGTGTCATCGCCTGCTTCACCGATGTCACCGTCATCTCACCCAAGATGCGCATGGTACCCACCATTCCCCACACCAGCAGAGACGAGAGTGACCAGAGAGAGATACCAGAGTGGGAAAGACCAGAGATAGTCCAAAGAGAGAGAGCAGAGAGAGAGAGACCAGACAGAGCAGAGAGAGAGAGAGAGCAAAGAGACACCAGAGTGAGAGCAGAGAGAGTCCAGAGAGAGAACAGAGAGAGAGAGAGAGCGAGAGAGCGACAGACCAAATATAGTCCAGAGAGAGAGACCAGAGATAGTCCAAAGAGAGAGACCAGACAGAGCAGAGAGAGAGAGAGCAAAGAGACACCAGGGTGAGAGCAGAGAGAGTTCAAAGAGAGAGACCAGATAGACAGTTCAGAGAGAGAGAGGTCAGAGAGAGAGGCCAGAGAAATAGTGAGAGAGACCAGAGAGAGAGAGACCAGAGAGAGAGAGGCCAGAGAGAGATGGAGCCAATTTTCATCATTAGCACCCTATTGGGATAGCAGGTTAGCATTGTTGTTAGCCTTGTCCATGTAATTACAGCCTAAGTCTCTCTCTTCTGTGTTGTACGTAAATAACATGTACATCTGTCTCCTAAGGCTCTCCCGGTCATCGCCAAAACCAACCCCATCTTCAACGCTCTGCTCTACTCTTTCAACAACGAGTTTTACCGTCCGGGAGTTTGGAACTTCCTGACGGGACAGAAGATCACGGAGCCACTGGAGCCCAAGAAAGGCAAATGAGGAGATTCACCACAACTGTATGTGTTTATGGGACTGTAACGTTCCATTTTAAAGCTGGGGTACCTACGTTTTGTGTTTGTCCGAACAGAAAGAGACAAATCTTTCTGTGTTGTGAGAAAGAGTGAGTCCCTGTGAGTCACTTTTTGACTATTTGGGCTGAGTGATGGTGGTCCTCTCTTTGTCACTTTTCTTTCTGGAAAAGCTGATCTAAAAATGTGGCCTCTGGTCTCTCTCTCGCCTCTCTCTTCTGGTCACTCTCTGGTCTCTCTCTCGCGTCTCTCTTCTGGTCTCCCTCTCCAGTCTCTCTCTCTGGTCGCTCTCTAGTCTCTCTCTCTCTGGTCTCTGTGTAGTCTCTCTCTCTGGTCTCTCACTCTGGTCTCTCTCCATCTTGTCTCTCTGGTCTCTCTCTGGGGTCTCTCTGGTCTCTTTCTGGTCTTTTTACCCCAGCTTTAATTCACAGATACCTGACCTTGGATTTGAATTGATAATGAGAGAAAGATTGCAGAATTTGAAAGCAGTACTTTTCTTTGAGCATTCCGAGTTTGACACACATGGTTAGATGTTTAGTGTTTCAGGCATTTTGGCACAAATGATATCCAAGCTGCTGCTATGTCGGCGCTGTGTTCCCTGAGTCCCTGAGTACTGTGTTCACATGAGCCTTCACTGTCTGCCTTTTTCATGTGTCTGTGCTAATAATATGAATAAAAATATTTGTATAACTGTACGTTTTGACTTCGATTCTGATTTCTATTAAAGAGACCACACAAGTTAGCAATCAGCAGTATTGAGCATTATTTAGAGGGATCAAGGGAGAGACCAGAGTGAGAAACCAGAGCGAGAAACCAGAGAGTGAGATCGAAGAGAGACCAGAGAGAGACCAGAGAGTGAGACTTGAGAGAGACCAAAGAAAGAGACCAGAGGAAAATACCAGAGAGAGGTGTTCTAGAATCTAGAAGACAATGTGTCACAGCTTCACTTTGCTCGTTCCAATCTATTAAACACAGCAGCTGTTTGTGTGGATCATTTTTAATCTGCTGTAGTTTTAACTGTGCAGCAAAATGATCTGATGTGTGTGTGTGTGTTTATGGACAGATGGGGAGGAGAAACAGCTGCTCCACAGATTTAATAACATCTGTATCAGACACAGGAGAGAAACCAGCAATGGAGAGGACCAGAGGTAGGTCATGGTCCTGGTCCAGAGGTCATGATCCTGGTCCTGGTCCTTTCCTGGTGCAGAGGTCTTTGCAGGTGGCTGTATCAGACAGTTATAGCAAAGAGAGAGCAGCGTCTGCAGTCAAAGCTCTTGATTTACTCTTCACTCTATAAGTTTTGGGCAATTTACCTTTAGAGGACTGTGGTATGAAGACTTATGAGGACTGGGGGATGGAGACTTATGAGGACTGTGGTATGAAGACTTATGAGGACTGGGGGATGGAGACTTATGAGGACTGTGGTATGAAGACTTATGAGGACTGTGGTATGGAGACTTATGAGGACTGGGGGATGGAGACTTATGAGGACTGTGGTATGAAGACTTATGAGGACTGTGGTATGGAGACTTATGAGGACTGGGGTATAGAGACTTATGAGGACTGGAGGATGGAGACTTATGAGGACTGGGTGATGGAGACTTATGAGGACTGGGGGATGGAGACTTATGAGGACTGGGGTATGGAGACTTATGAGGACTGGGGGATGGAGACTTATGAGGACTGGGTGATGGAGACTTATGAGGACTGTGGGATGGAGACTTATGAGGACTGGGGTATGGAGACTTATGAGGACTGGGGGATGGAGACTTATGAGGACTGGGGGATGGAGACTTCTGATCAGGGTCAGAAGAGACACATTCATCACATTTACACAAAATGGTTTCACACAGGGGCTGGTGCTCTGTGACTGGGTGCAGCTCTGACTGCCACCCCCCCGACCCAGAAATGGATTAAGGGGAAGAAAATGGATGGATGGGTTTCACACAAGTACTAACCATGTGTGAACCCACAGAGGTGTCTTGCCCATGAGCACAGAGCAGGATTGATGGATAATCCACCCGGACACATGTTGGGTTAGAATGGTGCTATTACATACTGTAAAGGCTGCAATCCTTTGTTGATCCTCAGACCTGATTTGTGTAAAAACAGATCTCAGGGTCAGTCTATCCCAGAGAGAAACAAACAAGGTCTCTAGTCTCTCTCTGGCCTCTCTCTAGTACCTCTTGTCTCTTTCGGGTCTCTCTTTGGTCTATTGCAGGTCTCTCTCAGGTCTCTCTTGGATCTCTCTCTCCGGTCTCTCTCTGGCCTCGCTCTGGTCTCTTTCTGGTCTCTTTCTGGTCTCTCTTTGGTCTATCCCAGGTCTCTCTCGGGTATCTCTCTCTGGTCTCTCTCTCTGGTCTCTCTCTGGCCTCTCTTTCTCCTTTCCCCGGTGTCTCTCTCTTGTATTTGATTGGCTTATTTAAATCAATATTAAAAGTTGTATTGGCAGGTTTTTCTACTTCCGGGTGGCTCATCAAGACTTTTGGTCCTCCCAACTGTCAATCATCCTGGTGATACGTGCTCATCAAATAAGACCAGAGAGTTTTGTTCCTAAAATTCGGGAAAATTCTCCATCCATCCATCCATCCATTTTCTACCCTTTAATCCATTTCTGGGTCAGGGGGGTGGCAGTCAGAGATGCCACCCAAGTCTCATAGCACCAGCCCCTCACTGACCCTCTGCAGGTGGTGAGTCCACAGGAGGGCGGCTGCTCTCTGAGTGTGAGCATAGCCTTGATCTTTCAGTGGGGGCTTTGGGCAAAGTGGGGTGAAGTGTCTTGCCCAAGGACACAACGACAGCAGTCATCAGTGGGAGTCGGTGGAGAAGGTGCAGAGGTGGGAATTGAACCCACGACCTTCTGGCCTTAAGGCCAATGCTCTACCAACTGAGCTACTGTCGCCCCCAAAATTCTCCAACACATTTAATATTATATATATGTATTTATCTGTGGCAGTATTTCGGATTTGTCTTTCGGTGGCATCAGAATGATCAGATACTTTTCAAGAATAAAAAACAGATTGTGAGGTCACAGGATCGTGGAGCAGATGTGACCTTACACTCCCACCTACTGGCTGCTTCGGGAACTGCATCACTCACTAGGGCAGTCACAAATCACTGACTACTTACCATTATCATTTTATTCATTAATGTTTAAATGTATTATAATTACATTTACAATGCAGTTTTTATATTGTATTATTGACACATTTTATAACATGTTTTCTGGCTAACTCTCTCTCTCTGGTCTCTTTCTTGTCTCTCTGTTAATTTCTCTCTGGTCTCTCTCTCTCTCTTTCTCTCTCTCTCTAGGGTCTGTCTAGTCTGTCGTCTCTCTCCAGTCTTTCTCGAGACTCCCTCTGGTCTATCTTTAGCTGTCCCTCTCTGGTCTCTCTCTGTGGACTCTCTCGGGTCTCTCTGGTCTCTCTGCAGTCTTTCTTGAGTATCCCTCTGGTCTTTCTTGAGAGACCATAGGGAGACACTCGGAGACCAGAGAGTTGTCTCTATTTGGTCTCTGGTCTCTCTCTATTGCCCTAGTCTCTCTTTCTGGTCTGACTTAGTAAATGAGTACAGAGCCTGCTGGTCAGTCTGCCCTATAGGGAGAAACAACATACTCAAACACATATCACTAAAACAGTTTCTTCAATCACTAGTTTTGCTGTATTTCTATCTCTGTCACATCATTAGAGCAGATTTATCAGACAGAACAATGACAAAGAGAGGACCACCCTCACTCAGCCTCAGCCCAAAGCGTCAAATAGTGACTCACAGGGCTCTTTCTTACACAAAATAATGAGACAAAGGCGGTATAGAGACTCCTTCTGTTGTGTGAGTCGTGGTGCAGTAGATCTGACTGTGACTGATGCGTCTCTGTGTGGAGGAGGAGGAGTGAGTGTTTGTCATCACTTCTAATAATACAGAGACACCTGTTCAGCCTCAACATACTCTACATACAACCAGAAGAACTCTCTGGTCTCTCTCTGATCTCTCTCTGGTCTCGCTCCGCTCTCTCTCTGGTCTCGCTCTGGTCTCTCTCTGGTCTCTCTCTGATCTCTCTCTGATCTCTCTCTGGTCTCGCTCTGGTCTCTCTCTGGTCTCGCTCTGATCTCTCTCTGATCTCTCTCTGGTCTCTCACTGGTCTCTCTCTGGTCTCGCTCTGGTCTCTCTCTGGTCTCTCTCTGGTCTCGCTTTGGTCTCTCTCTGGTCTCTCATTGGTCTCTCTCTGGTCTCTCATTGGTCTCTCTCTGGTCTCTCATCTCTCTCTCGGGTCTTTCTTTTGACTCTCTCTCCAGTCTCTTTTTCTGCTCTATCTCTCTATGGTCTCTTGTTGGTCTCTCTTTGCTCTTTCTCTCTGCTCCCTCTAACTGGTCCCTCTGATCTCATTCTCTGCTCTCTCTAATTGGTCCCTCTCTGGTCTCTCGCTTGTCTCTCTCTGCTCTCTGTCAGCTCTCTCCAACTGGTCTCTCTCTGGTCTCACTCTTGTCTCTCTATGGTCTCTCTCTCTACCAGACTATAGTGGCTGAAGGAATGTGGGTATGGCTTCATATGAGTCTGGTCTCAGATTTTGAGTCCAGTCTTTAGACAGACAGACACAGTATCTGGTACCGTATCCTAGCAACCTACCCACAACAAAATGTAGTACCTTTGGAAATTCCTTGGTAACCACGGCTTCCAGCAGCACTCTGGCCAATCACTGTCAGTTAGAACACTTTAGTAGTAGAGTAGAGGAGAGGAGAGCAGAGTAATATATTATTTCTATGTCACAATAGTTTTACTTTGACATGATTCTCGTCCCACTTCTATGAGCCTCGGTCCTGACTTCATGGAGTGGGCAGCGAGAGAGTCGTGTGTTCTCTCCGCAGTCTGACAAAACTGCAGCATCACACAGACACGCTTCCATAAGAGCCTTTGAACACCACTATTCCCTTAATACACGGATATTTGGAACATAGTTTGGACTTTCTTTCCCAGATGGAGACATGGGGACGGTCAGCGAACTGTGTGTGTCCAGTTTCTCAGCGTTCCTCTGCCCAGCCGTCAAACCAGGTGATCAATCTGTTACTATTACTCTATGTCAAAGAAGGAGGGGTCCTTAAAGGGGACATGATCCATATTTCTCAGCTTTTGTCCATGTTTTAGAGTCTTGTTTGGAAGTGTGTATAGGCTATTTTGAGCTGTGTCGCCCCGAGACGACAGTGGGAAAGGTCGCGTGTTATTTGGGCTCGTGACGACTCTTCGGCCACGGGGGAGAGACAGGAATGAGTCAAAGTAAAAAGGGTCAAAACAAACTTCAGACTTTCTAAATATGTATTGTAAAGTCACAGCGCAAGGGAGCGAAGAGAGAGAGACCAAAGAGACCAGAGAAAGACCATAGAGGGACCAGAGAGAGAGACCATATAGAGAGAGACCAGAGAGAGACAGAAGATAGAGACTAGAGAGACACCATAGAGAGATCAGAGACAGAGACTAGAGAGAGACCATAGAGAGATGAGAGAAAGACCATATGAGAGACCAGAGAAAGACCATAGAGAGACCAGAGAGCAAGACCAGAGAGAGACCTGAAAAAGACCAGAGCAAGAGACCAGAGAGAGACGAGAAAAAGACCAGAGCGAGAGACCAGAGAGACCAGAGAGACCAGAGAAAGAGATTTTAATTAAATGTCTGTATTGTTGTTGGAGTAAACACGCAGCGCATCAGTTCCAGTCTCTCAGGTTTTGTTCATGGAGAGAGGAAGAGGGAGAGGCGTCTGCAGTCAGAGCTCTCTGTGTGACTCCCATATGAAATAGACTTTATTCTTTGCTCAATGCTCTCAGACTAATACAAGGTCTGAGTGAGTTGGTTTCCTTGGAGATGTGGTCAGAAGCAGCAGGAGGATTGTATGTGTGTGGGTTCAGACTGTGGAGGAAAGATACAGTAAATCATACAATCTCACCTTTAAACAACATTCAACTCAATGTATTTGTGTCTCGCCCTAAATCACAGCAGCAGTCGTCTCTGGGGACTTTACAAAGTTGTCGGTTCGCCAACAACAGATCAGAGAATGAATCAGGTCGAACACAGGAAATGCAATGATAGCAAACACATAGAGACATTGGTTCATAGGGAGAGAGCGGGAGATCCAGGACTGAGGCTGTAGATCCAGGACTGAGGCTGTAGATCCAGGACTGAGGCTGTAGGTCCAGGACTGAGGCAGTAGATCCAGGACTGAGGCTGTAGATCCATGACTGAGGCTGTAGATCCAGGACTGAGGCTGTAGATGCAGGACTGAGGCTGTAGATCCAGGACTGAGGCTGTAGATCCAGGACTGAGGTTGTAGATCCAGGACTGAGGCTGTAGATCCAGGACTGAGGCTGTAGATCCAGGACTGAGACCTTGTGAGATTTTAATGTTTCTTGTTTTGAATTGTGAACTTGTTTTGAACTGCAAATAAACTTGCCTTTTCACGTGATTGCATGAATGATTGGTAACGGGCCCTGGGGGGTCGAGATTTCAGCTCATATCTCATCATCCATCTTTCATAGACTTTCATGCACTTGTCAGTGTCATGTGCCCTGAAAGAACAAATACTACTTTAGTGTATTTAAGTGTGTTTATGCTACACTTTCTATCCCTCTATCATCAGAGCAATAGTCTTAGTCACCAACTTTTGCTCGTTTGACCCAATTCAGACCCTCCCATTCCTGCATTTCCCCCTGGTCTATAATAAAGCCCAGTGCAGACATTTCCCTCATTGTTCAAACTTCAACAGTAGCTTGTGTTGAGTCCAGCACAACACTTCCTGTTTGTGTCTGCTCCCAGTGCGAATAAAGCTGTGATTGAATCCACAGCTGCAGCCTGGGGTTCCTCCTTTCCTAAGCTCTAGCTCCTACGTCCTTCCTTCCTTCCTCGCGTCCTTCAGGCTTACACACTCGGCCTCTCGGTGTCATGTCACAACAGAACACATCCTCATTCTTAGCACTTTAGTGGTTTATTATTTCTATCGCCTCCGAAAAAACAGCTGCAGATTTCAATGTATTTTTACCATCCGACTGTTCAGCTTGCATAGATGCTCAAAGCAGTAATGTGTCTTGTCCTGTGGATTCTTCTCCAAAGCTCTGACTGTATAGGTGAGGCTGGGAATGTAAGACTGAGTGGTACGCGCGGAGAGCTTTGACTGCAGACACTGCTCCCTCTTCCCTCTCCATAAACAAGACCTGAGAGACTGGAACTCATGTGCTGTGTGTACACTCCAACATACAGCAACATATCTCCCTCTCTCTGGCCTCTCTCTCTCTCTCTATGGTCTCTAACTGGTCTCTTTATCTGATCTCTCTCGCTCTGGCCTCTCTCTGGTCTCTCTCTCTGGCATCTCTCTCTCTCTCTCTCTGGCCTCTCTCTATCTCTCTGGTCTCTCTCTCTCTCTCTATGGTCTCTAACTGGTCTCTTTATCTGATCTCTCTCGCTCTGGTCTCTCTCTGGTCTCTCTTTAGCTTCTCTCCTCTCTCTCTAGCCTCTCTCTCTGGCTTCTCTCTCTCTCTCTCTCTCTCTCTCTCTCTCTCTCTCTCTCTCTGGTCTATCTCTCTCTCTCTCTGGTCGTTTAGTCTTTTGAAGCCACATTCAAATGAGGTAGTAAGGTATTTCTCACATTTACAGAAGTAAGGGATATTTTAAAATAATCACAAAGAAATAAACTATGGAAAAACAGACAAACTCACGAAGTTATGAAGGACTGCACATACACAGAGAAATTAGACTAAATGCAGTCAAACAGACGGCTCTGGGAATTGTAGAAGAGTTCATTTTACTGTTAATTGTCCAGTAAAACCTTGTGATTAGTCTCTACAGCCCGTCTGCGTCCTCCTGGCTGCTGATTGGCTGTCACCGCTGTCACTCTGCTCTCCTCCACCGTTAGCCCCGCCCTCGCACACTGTCTGCTCGCGCGCTGACAGATCTGACAGTTCAAGCCGTTTCTCCATAAACTTCGCACTTTTTCCTTTTTCTCTTTTTACAACTTTTTGCCGCTTTTCCTTCACTAAACCCGGGGTTCATCCTTAACTGAGCTGTAGCTGAAGTATGGTGCTGAAGTCTGAAGACGGCGTCGGTAAGCGAAAAAAGTGATTAAAAATGCTAAAAATGCGCTGTTATTGACGGCATTGTGCTAAGGTTGCTAAAGATGCTAAAGATGCTAAAATAAACTTAGTATTAAATAACCTTAGTATTGATATAAATGGTGGCATAAACCTGAAGTATTTTTCTTTTAAGGCAATAATATAACAATTAGGAACACGAAACCTCCCAAAACCTCATTATAACATGCAATTAAGTTACATTTACGTGTGTAATTCACTGTTTGGTCACTGACAGTCATGTGTAAAACCAATTAGCAGTGAGAAAAGCCATCCTCCAGAACATGACATTGTATTTTTTTCCAAATATGTCTCTGGTCTCTCTGGTCTCTCTCTCTGGTCTCTCTCTCTGGTCTCTCTCTCTGGTCTCTCTCTCTGGTCTCTCTCTCTGGTCTCTCTCTCTGGTCTCTCTCTCTGGTCTCTCACATTGACAGCAGTTACTCTCACCGTTAAGCTAAGTTATTGGCATTTCTCCTCATCATGTGTGAATTCTCAAATATTACATTAAAACATGCGATTAAAGCTTAGGTACCTGACTTTTTGTAGCACCGGTCAGACCATTACATGCTGTCTTCATCTAATTAAAAAAAATAAAAAATTGTGTAAGAATTAGAACTCTTTGGGACGAGAGCTGATTGGCTGATGAAGCTGATCTGAACGGTGACAGTGGCCAAAAAATCCTCTATTCTTTTGAGTAGAAAATGCATCATCTTTAGGACATTTTCAATGGGATTTTTTTGTATGTTACTGTGGATCTGAATCTGTTTTTGGAATTGGATTGTTTTTTTAAGAGCACAACATCAAACTTTGATTATCACAGATTCAGTAGACTCTTGGGAATTGGTCTTTTTTGTTTTTGGATGATTAAATAAAGTTATAGTCTAATCAAACACTAAACAAGTAATCCGTAAAGCGCTGTTTATAACAGCCTTGCATGGCTCTACTCTACTCTACTCTACTCTACTCTACTCTACTCTACTCTACTCTACTCTACTCTACTCTACTCTACTCTACTCTACTCTACTCTACTCTACTCTTTAGTTCCTCTTGGTCCTGGTTCTATCCAGGCCGAGCTGGTACCAAAGTTTTCTAATGGACAGTGATTGGCCAGAGTGCTGCTTGAAGCCATGGTGACCAAGGAATTTTCCAGGATACTAGTTTGTTGTGGGTTGGTTGCTAGGATACGGTACCAGATACTAAAGCATAATAGAAACATAACCAGGTAGAGTAGAGTAGAAGGAAACACTGGTTAAGTAGTAGTGGTAATTAAATAAGTACGGTTCTTTTCTGGAGTTTGACGTCACTTTTTACATTTTAAAAGAAAATAAACGTTGTTCATATAAAGAACACAGATAGAAATGGTTTTCACGTTTAGGTACACGTGACCGAAACGGCACCAGAACCTCTCAGAACTAGCCTGGCCTTAGCCATCCGTACACTCCGTTCAATCATCATTTCACTGCATGTAACGTCTGGGTCTAGTCCCTATGTTTGCGATTACAATCGGTTGAATTTCGACCGACCAATCAGAGAGCGCGTAAGGCAGGTGTTGTAGTTAGTTGTGGGTGATGTCAAGAGTTTGGGCCGAACAGGCAGGTTGTAGTTTGGCAATGGCAAAAAATGCGATAGTAAAGTAATCCGGTCTGGTTCTATCAGAGGGAGAAAGAGTAATGTTTAACAAATGTAATCGCTGGAAAAAATTGTGGCGCTACTCCCCACGGGCTCCTTTCGTGGCAAAGGAGATGGCTAGGCTAAATGCTAACAACAGACTCGGGCGCACTACATACGTCAACTCAGATCCAATCGTTTCAATCTGCAAAAGGAGTCAACCCCTCCCACCTGTAAACGGACCTTAGTACAAAATATAATTTGTACTATGGTGTGGTACGACCAGGCTCTCTCAGGACGGTAATGTTTAACATTGGCGAGGATCACTAAAAT